TATGCTCATGGAGGACTGCTGGAGAGGCCCACCTCCCTATGCTCATGGAGGACTGCTGGAGAGGCCCACCTCCCTATGCTCATGGAGGACTGCTGGAGAGGCCCACCTCCCTATGCTCATGGAGGACTGCTGGAGAGGGCCACCTCCCTATGCTCATGGAGGAATGTTGGAGAGGCCCACCTCCCTATGCTCTTGGAGTTCTAGGTACTTCTTGTGGGGAAATAAATGCTACTGGGAACCTGCACCTGTAAGCAGTCAGAATTCACTGAGAAAGTGTGTTCTTCAGGGAAACCCTAGATTTCTATTTAGTAGTCTTATGATGTCAGACATCACTACTGATTTCATATAAAGAACACTGGAATATAACATATTCCTAAGTGCTAGATGCAAGTGAATTTTGTGGGCATACATCTTGGTCTACTTGGATCTGTGATACCAAACATCACAGCCATTTTGCTAACACTGACTTTCTTGGGAGCTTTCTCCAAGTGCTTTCTAAGGTGAAGTGTGTTTGTGTGGCTCTTAAGTACCCTGTCAAAGTAGAAATTCTTCCCCTTACTCAATAGGGACAATTTTAAGTACTGCATAATACTAAATAGAAATTATTCACATAGAACTTGAAGATGTCCTTACTACTGTCACTCCCCAAGTTAGGAACTCAAACAAAAAGATCTATCAAAGTATAATTAAATTCACTTATGTAGTTCTACCAGGAGACAGGACTGAGCAATCAATTGACAAAGGAAGGGTTCGATTAGCAGAGGGACACAGAAAGGAAATAAAATGCCAGACTTGGGTCTACATTGAATTGGTCAGAAAACAGTGCTTATGATGATCCAACTTTTGGTCTGTGCCTTGATCTCTCTTTCACTCTGTGCCGGTGTGTCAGAGATGATGGGAGTGGATAGGCTCCTGTACATTCCTGCCCACATAAGCATACTGTATGTGTCAGAAATCTGTCAATGGATGACATTTCAAAATCAGTGAGTACATCCATTTTTTCCTTACAAAGCAAAGCACACACACATTTATAGGTAGAGCTACCACAGCAAGAAGCCCACCTAGTTTAAGACCAGAGATAAAGCTGCCAAGGCATTTGTTTCCAAGAGGCCAGATTGAACACTTCCAGAGAACCCTTCTCTAAGGCTAGAAAAAGGCATATGAAAAAGAAAGAGAGGTCAGCCTACCTACGGCTCGGCAGAGAGGTATATAAAGGTGGTCACACCCTTTCTAGAGGGCTTCCTTCATTCCCTACAGAACACACACACACACACACACACACACACACACACACACGTTAAACTATTTGAATACTTCTCAAAATTCCTAAGATGAAAATAAATAAATGGCTACTTATGTTTCATACAACCAACCAAGGAATACATCTTAGAATTTCATCTGATCGTATTAACAACTTTCTCTTCTCTGTTTTTACTTTAAAATCAAAGACATCTCTTTTTCTTCACTGCAAAGACACTGAAGCACAATAAAAGGTGGGAAGACCAAGTGAATGTCACTCTCCACTAAAGAATCCCGAAAGCAACCAAACAACAGAGAAAACAGACACCACCAACTGCTTCTGCCTGTGAGGTGGTTTCCCATTTTTTGCTTTAATAAGGCAGTTCTGATGGCAAGGCTGTCCGCACTAGTCTTGTTTTTAAAAGCATTATCTATTTGTTCCTTTCTGTTTCATGGGGGGGGGATCACCACCATTTACTCTTTTACTTCTTCTTCATGATCTTGTGATTCCCATTTACATTTGATCTTGCTCCAGCATTCTGGTGATACAGGAGATAAGGGATCATGTTCAGAGCAGCAGAGACGACCTTCCAGTGCAGAGGGTACCAGAGCTCCCTTTCCATGACCTTTACAAAATGAGCGTGGGCAGAATTCACAAAAGGAGACTGCTGCACCGCTGCACTCATCACATCGATGCCACGGGCACTCCCACTTTCCTGACGTAGGAGTTGGAGGAGGAAAGCACCTGTTAGCACATGCCTTCATCACACGGGAAAAACCTCAAGACTCCATGTTCTTTGATTCACAACTACGTCCAACTCCAAACTTCAGTTAAACATACATCTAGTAGTGTTATTTCATACAGATATGAGCTTGTGGCCCAGACCCAGTACTGTAGTGCCAGCTACCCACCTGTGGGTAAGAAGCCCTCCCTTGCCATACAGGGTGTCCTGAATTCGCAGGGAAAGAGATACCTGACTAGCAAAATTGTTCTATTCAGCATTTCTCCTTTCACAGCTCTAAGGACAGCAGATCACATCCCGAGTTATGCATTAATAATAAAGACGGAATAGAACAGCTTGAAGGTCTAGCTTACCACATGGTGGCTGAGTCAGGTTAAGGCATAGGAGGTGGTACGCTTTGGGACAGTCTTTTTTGTCACACATGACCAGCTCTCCACCATCTCCACAATGAAAACAGTAATCTTCATGCATCTGCTTTGGTTCTGTTTTGAGCTTCCGTCTCTTCTGCTTTAACTTGGCGCTTTTGGCCTTCTCTTCAGCTGTTGAAGCACATGCAGACTGGCAAGGAAGAAGGACAGCAGCTTCAAGGTGCCAGACAATGCATGAAGCTTTACACAGAAAGGAGAGCACACCACCCAACTTCAAACTCATCTGCTGTACACGTCCTAGAAACACCAGTAGGGCTTATCCTAAACGATACTGTAACAAAAATAAGACTCTGTCTTCATTGGTTTTTCTGTGTTTTTTGGAAAGAGCTTACTGAGGAAGCAGTAGGCTAGGCAGGATCAGAGTACTGTTGCTGTCCACTGAGCTTTATCACTGGCTGCTTTTTTGTTGATGTTCACTGCAAATCCAAGCAGCTTTATTTAACTCATTACTGCTCAGACAAACCTGTTTTGTTCTTTTTTTTTTTTTTTTAAAGACAAGGTCTTACTCTAGCCTAGGCTGGCCTGGAATTCACAGCAGTTCTTCTGTTTCTGCCTCCCAAGTGCTGGGATTAGAGGTGTGAGTACCACGCCCAGGTAACAGTCACCATTTTAAAAGTGGATAATTCAGTGGGTCTACTACCAGACTTTACTAAAACAAGCTTTATTAGAAAGTCAGAATAGCAGGTTGAGTGTGACAGTGTATAACCTCAATCCTAGCACTCAAGAAGCAGAGACAGGTGGATCTTTTTGAGTTCACACACCAACTTTCAGGCTAGCTAGGGATACATTGTGAAACTGCCTGAAAAAAGAAAAAAAAAAAAAAGAAAAAAAAAGGGAGGGAGGGAGGACAGCAAGCTGGGTGTGGTACAAGCCTGTAATCTCAGCACTTGGAAGGTAAAGGGAAAAGAATGAAGAATTCAAGATCATCCTCAGCTTTACAGAATTCAAGGCCAGCCCAGGCTACATGAGCTCTTGTCTCAAAACCACTATCACAGAAAAAGAGCATTAAAACAAAATAAGTCAGAATGACTACACATCTGTAAACTCCACCAGGGACCTGCAAGCCAAAGCAAGTGCTTTTTGCCACTCTCTTCTTCAGACTGCCTTTAGCAAACTTCCATTCCGTCCCCTCTTGGTTTGGGGCACCCTCGTACAACTGACCTTTGGCCGTACTCCTAGAAAACCACTGCAGTTATCTGCCCCACAGTGGCATTCTGTTCTGCCGTTGCCCAGACAATCCAAGTTATAATTAAATGTTAACTCCATTCCTAAAACAAAAAGAGAAATCATTATTCACACTCGTCATGAGGAAGAGATACTGCCAGTACTTTCGTACTGAGACATAATTCTGTCATGAAGACTTTTCCCAGGCTGGTAGGATGCCTCAGCAGGTAAAAGTGCTTGCCGTGCAAGCCTGATGACCTGAGTTTGATCCTTGGATCCCATTCTGGAAGATGACCAACTCCTATAAGTTGTCATCTGACCTCCACATGAGCAAATGCACTTGTACATCATATACACATGTATGTAATAATAAAATTTTTAAAGAGAACTCTTCCCCCCCCCCGCCGTATTCCACTTCACTGAAAACAGTGATGGGAAAAATTGGGGTACATTGAGTAATAACACCACCACCCATAAACATGTATGACAATGCTAAATATCCTAAAAGAAGACATGCACTTTTACCAAAAAATGGCTGAAAATAATGTAATAAGGACTAAGAACCTGTGACCTATGATCAAGAAAAACAGCTTCTAATTTAGTTCTCTTTTCTAAATACTAATGCTTTACATTATGAACCAATGGAAGTTTACTGTATACATTGATGATCTAGGGATCCAAACCAAGGCCTCCTGAATATCCTTTCAGCCAGGCATGACCCACCCACAGAGCTCTAGAGAGCTTGAATTATTTTAGCTTCTGAATTGCTCTTACTACTTTTCTAAACTTAACAAAGAAACCAAATCTTGGTGAGTGGGGAAGGAAAATGAAAGCATTACAGCTGGCTTCTGAGGTTCTGAAGTCTAAACTGAAGAAAGGAGGGTTGTCTTTGAGAGTAGAAACAAGGCCACACAACAATTCAAACTAGCTGATGTTGACATAAGCTAATTCCTTTCTCCTTTCTTTTTGTTTTGGAAACAGGGTCTCCCTGTAGGCCCCAGCTGTCCTGGAATTCACCATGTAGACCAGACTGGCCTTGAACTCACAGAGATCCGCCTGCTTATGCCTCCCAAGTGCTGGGACTACAGGGGTGCATCATTACACCCGGCTTTCAAATATGTTTTAAAAAGAAAACAAGAGCTAGGACATCTGGTTATATTATATAGACAGCAGTATTTTAGAAAAGTAATGCACTAGGCTCTAGAAGTAATGTACTTTAGTTCAACAAAGAATCCTCTTGTGTCCTCTCATATAAAGGCTCTTGCTAGGTTTCTCTTCAGAATGGAGTTTTACGTCATTGGCAAATAATGCTCAGTTGAAAATATCATATGTTATCTTATTTGAGTAAATGCTCGGGTACCAACCCTTGAAGAATAATGCTCTTCCCTTAAAAAGACAGATTTTTTCGTCCCTAGGAAGGGACCCATAGGAGCAAGTTACACTTTTACCTGCAGGAATATCACAAAGAGCAAAAAGCCCAACTCGAACATCTCCGTTTACCGTCCACTTCTGTGTCTCACAGTTTGGATTACAACTGTGGTTCATGAAACGAGAATAATTTCCTTTTGGTCCAGCATCAATGATACGGTCCTTCAGGAAGGAAAAAAAAGGGTACCTTTGACATAAACTAAATACAGGTACGTTTAGAAACATCCAGTAAGTTAAGGGACCACAAAGCAGCATCATTATCAGCCTTGGGTTTTTTAAGTTTCCTTCTAGAAACAGAGCATAGAATAATTGCCATCATCACCATCTCTAGTAAACAGAAGACTAGCAGACCATATGTTCAAGTCCTCTCTCATTAAAAAGCTCTGAAGTTTCAAAGAACCGCTCACATCCTTTGTTGTCAGTTTTTCTTTACTGCTGAGCAAGAAGCAAAGCTGGTATAGAGTAGTCCAATTTAACCGTAAAGACGCAAAGAAGGGAACTGAGAGCACTTCCCGAAACGAAGGCATGGAGGCCGCTTGTCTACTATGCTAACCGAGGGGTATGCGTTCCCGTAGTTACCTACTACCTCCCCACTCACAGTGCAGCTCCACATACAGTAAGACACGGACACTCGGGCCCCTTGGATTGGAACGTGACAATCCAGATAAAGTCCAGAATGTCAAGCTGGCTGAACCAAGCCTGGTGAGGCTAGGATTCAAGAAGGCCGACTACAGCATACAACTGACAGTTCAACGTGCTCATGAACACACGAAAGCAACAACGTCAAACAATGACAGAAACAACACATTGGCAAAATACTTTTAAAATCATCTATTGGCCGGGCGTGGTGGCGCACACCTGTAGTCCCAGCACTCAGGAGGCAGAGGCAGGTGGATCTCTATGAGTTCAAGGCCAGCCTGGTCTACATAGTGAGTTCCAGGACAGCTGGGGCTACAGGGAGACCCTGCTTCAAAAAAAGACCAAAATAATAATAACAATAATAATAATAATCTATATCTTTTAATCAAACATCTGCCAGGTTTTGTTGTTTTTATGTTGTGTCTTGATTGTGCTGGGATCAAACCCACAGCCTCATATATGTTCAGCACATGTTCTACATTGAGCCATGACCTCAGCCCAAATGATATTCTGATTCTCTTAGAGACAGCCTGAAACAGAGAGAACACGGGTACTAATCTTGCACTCTTAAAGTATAATAAGGACATTCAACAAATTACTTAATTGAACTTGAAACTTGGTTGCTTGTCCTCTGCAAGGACTACTGTTAAAAAATAGATGAGATCATGGAGGCCATGTAATGTGCAAACATCTATCAGTCTTACAATTACATATGCTTTTTATTTGTTTTTGTTTTTTAATTTTATGTGCATGGGTGTACTGCCTGCATGTGTGTAAGTGCACCCGTCTCATGCAGTGCCCGTGGGGGTCAGAAGAAGGCATTGGATTCCCCTGGAACTAGAGTTATGGATAACTGGCCATATGTTAGCCACCATGTGGGTGCTGGGAATTGAACCTGGGTCCTCTGTAAGAGCAGTCAGTGCTCTTAACTGCTGAGCCATCTCTCTAGCTCCTCATTTGTTTTTATTGAAATGGGGTCCCACGCTGGCCTGTAACTTGCTTTGTAACTGAAGATGACCTTAAATTCCTGATCCTTCTGCCTCCACCTTCCAATGCTAGGATTACAGGATAAGCCACAATGTTTTATTAAACTAGGAGTTTTATTACCATTACTTTCCTAAGTCTTTTTTTTTTTGGTCTTTTTTTGAGACGGGGTCTCCCTGTAGCCCCAGCTGACCTGGAACTCACTATGTAGACCAGGCTGGCTTCGAACTCACAAGAGATCCATCTGCCTCTGCCTCCCAAGTGCTAGGATTAAAGGCATGCACCACCACACCTGGCTTCCTAAATCATTTTTATTTATTTCTTTTTCTCCCCCACCTCAAGTCATTTTTAAAAAGCTTAAATATACACCAGGTATGGTAGTGTATAGCTTTAATCTCAGGACTTGGAAGGCAGAGGCAGGGGGCTATCTATGAGATCGAAGCCAGCCTGTTCTACACGGTAAATTCCAGGTGGGCTGGGGCCATGGGAAACCCTGCTAAAAAAACCAAAACAAACAAAAACAACAATAGAAAAAGCTTAAATAAACAAAATAGTTTAGAGTTTTTGCTAAATCAGAAATTTCATGGTATTTCATAACTTAGAATCCCAGAGTTGATTCACTCCATCAGTGATAAACTAAGGGCCAGGTCTCCTAGTGACTAAGAGCTGGGATTAACATCCAGGGGCTCAAGTCTGAATATGTTCACCTTGTTTCTGGTTAGCATTTCTCTCTTGATGTAGTCTCATGACTATGGAGGGTTTCAATACGGTTCTTTTTGTAGTATGAGATAATAACAGATACTACACTGACTACTGAAAATCAGTATAATTTGCTTAGAGAAAATAAGAGAAACTGAGTTCAACATAAAATCATGAACCAAGCATAAAAAGTCCTTTTTTCTTACCAAAAAATAAAAGCAATTTTACCTTGGTAACAGTTAACATATAAAAATTAGTTACACTGTTCTCGTGGGCTCGCTTGATTCGAAGTCTGCATTCTTCTTCATCGATTAATTCACCAACATATTCATTTACAAATTCACCCTACAAAGAAGCATGTAATGTGGTACTTAAAATCAGTGTACTATGTTATAACACATTCCTTAACACCACATGTATGACTGATGAAAATTATTAACTAGAAAGACTTTTTTGAGGGTTGCAATTAGAGTCATTGCCTAGCATGTATAAGGCCCCGGGTTCAATCTCTAACACCACACAAATGGGGTGTGGTGGCAGATGCCATAAATCCAGTACTTGGGAGGTGTAAGCAGGAGTATCAAAAGTTCAAGGTCCTTCTCAGCTACATATGGAGTTCAAGGCCAACCTGGGCTACGTGAGACCCTGCCTTCAAAAAAACAAAACAAGGGGCTAGAGAGATGGCTTAGCAGTGGCTGCACCTGCAGAGGACCCAGGTTCAATTCCCAGCACCGACATGGCAACTAAAAACTTCGTAACTCCAGTTCCAGGGGAATCCGACATCCTCATCTCACCTCCGTGGATACTGCATGGCATGGGTGCACTTACATGCATGCAGGCACTATACTCATTACACATAAAAAATAATAAAGAAAATATTTAGCCGGGCATGGTGGTGCAGCACTTGGGAGGCAGAGGCAGGCAGATCTTTGTGAGTTCAAGGCCAGCGTGGCCTAGTTAGTTCCAGGCCAGCTGGGGCCCAGCTGGGGCTTCAGGGAAACCCTGTTGCAAAAAGATCAAAAAACTAAATAAGTAAATAAAATACTTTAAAAAACAAAAACAAAGCCGGGCGTGGTGGTCCACGCCTTTAATGAGGCAGAGGCAGGTCAATCATTGTGAGTTCAAGGCCAGCCTGGTCTACATAGTGAGTTCAGGTCAGCTGGGACTACAGGGAGACCCAGGCAAAAACAAAACAAAGAACAAAAACAAAACGAGTGGAGGGAGCGCAAGATGGTTTAGTACAGAAAAACTCTGACAATCTGAGTTTGACCCTAGGAATCCACGTGGTAGGAGAGCACAAGTTGTTCTCTGACTTCTATACCCACACCCTGGCACAGGACCCCTCCCCTCCCAGACAAGTAAGTGCAAAAGGCAAAAAGCAGAGCCGGAGGATGTTTGGCTCAATTGGTAAATTGTTAGTCTTGCAAATTTGAGGACCTGAGCTTGGATCCCCTGAATCCAGGTAAGTCAGGCATGATGACTGCCTGACATGCCAGTGATAATGGGGTGAGAGCCAAAGACCAGTGGGTCCCCAGAACTCACTGCCCTGCTGGCCTACTTGGAGAATGTCACAGTTAGCTTCAGCTGTCAACATGACACAAACCTAGAATTATCTGGGAAAAGGGACTCTCAACTGAAGATCTGCCTCAATCAGACTGGCCTGTGGCCATGTCTGTAAGGCATTTTCTTAACTGCTAATTGATGCAGGAGGGCCCAGTCCATCATGGGCAGTGCCATCCCTAGGCAGATGGGTCTGGATTGTATAAGAAAGCTAACTGAGCAAGTCAGGGATAGCAAGCTGGTAAGCAGCATTCCTTTGTTCATTTCTGCTTCAAGCTCCTGTCTGGTTTGAGTTCCCGCCTTGGCTTCCCTTGATGATAGACTGCCCTATTTAGTTAAACTAAACCCTTTCCTCCACAAGTTGCTTTTGGTTGTGGTATTTATCACAGAATAGAAAGAAAACTAGAACTGAGAAGTCTCAGACCTATCCCAAACAGTAGGCTAAAGGCATCAAGGTGCCTGAGGGACAACACCCGAGGTTGTCACCTGACATCTATACGCAGGAGCACACACATTTTCCTACAGCCGCACAAACATTAAACAAGACAAATCCTGAAAACAGAACTTCAACTCTAGAAATAAATGGTTTTTATTTATTCGTGGGCATTCAGGTAACACTGCTTTTCTTGTGCAAGTGCTTCAAATGGTCCCAGTCTGTTTTCCTTTCCTAGGCAATACTATTTCTATAGTTCAAATGGCACAGCATAGCATGTCACTGGATCTTGGGATAAAGCTAACTTCAACCTCTGAAGCCATTATCATCATAATCACAGACTTGGCTAAGAACTGGAAAAGACCCGAATCCTAAACAAAGAAGTTCCACTTTTCACTTTTTAAACTTTTTATTTTTAAGTAATTGTAGATATTTAGAGGAAGTTAGAAGAACAGCACAAAGTCTTAGTGCCACTCACTCTCTACAGACTTACAGCACATTAAAGCCCGAAAACCAACATTGGTACACAGACCTTAATCGGATCTCATTGGTTTTACACTCATCTCTTCTGCGTGTTTAGTTTTGTGTGATTTTATCAGGTACAGAATCCAGTAGCCACACATTCATGTTCAAGACTATTCTTCACCACAAGGATGTCTTGAGTTACTCCATTATCCTGTACCACGCCATCCTAACCCCTGGCAAACACTAGTCTGCTCTCTATCAGTACATGTCATTCAAGAATGCTCTTTAAGTGAATTTATAGAATATGCAACATTTTGAGACTGGCTTTAAAAAAAGATTTATTTTTATTTTATGTATATTAGTGCTTGCCTACATGTATGTATGTGCACTGCATAGGTGCCTGGTGCCCCAAGGAGGCCAGAAGAGGGTATCAGATCCCCGGGAACTGGAGTGGAATAAACTGCCAACCTACTGTCTAGGTAACTATCCTATTTACAATCCCACCACCAATGGCCAAAGAGATCCAGTTGGTCTACATTCTTGCCAGAATTTGGTATTGTCACTGTTCATTGTTTTAGCTGTTTTAAGTGATAAACTCACCTGAAATAAGAGTAAATATAAGATAGTTTTATATTTATAGTTACATAATTGCCCTTTCACCTTAAAAACACTGGTGATTCAGTCTAGGGCAACAGCATCATCTACACGATCTACCTGTATTACAAATACATCCCAGAGAATAAACATCTTGAGAAACAAGTATGTACGCCCTCACTTTTTACCAGATTTTTATCTCACTGCCCCTTGTGGCTCCACATACAAATTCTCCTCAGCTCTTCTCATAGCTCAAAAGTACTGACAGTACCAGGGATCCAGTCCTAGGCCCAAGCCCCATCACCTCTCCCAGACTGCTCAGACAGGCTCCTTTTAATCACGCTTTCTCCTTTCTCATGAAGCCTCCCTACTCTTTTGAACCTCAAACAGGACCGGTTCTCATGATGGCCCTCTCATCCACTTTCTGATGTTCCTGCCATTGTGGGATCTCTTCCTGAGAGTGTGGCAATGGTGATGGCATGCATGTGTTAATGTGACCTTCTTCCAATAAGACCCCAGTGTCTGTCTTGCTGAATGAAGTCCTCATGACTATGCTGGGAACTCCAGGTGGCTGGGGAGCCACTGGAGGCTAAGAGCCATTCCTGGTAACAGCAGGAAAACTCAGAAACATTCAGATCACAGCTACAAAGGACAGAGCTCCTTAACAACCATGCATTCTAGGAAGTAGGTCCTGCCACAGGAGGGGTGCAGGAAGAGAATCAAGGCCTGGCTGACATTTTGCAACTCTAACTGCAGAACTCAGATAAGCACTGCCTGGACCAGACCCATATAAATTATGAGATAATAAGACATGTATCATGGCTAAGTTGCTTTTTGCTATTGTTATTTTTGAGACAAGGGCTCACTCTTACTTAGCTCAGGCTAGCCTAGAACTCACTATATAGGCCAGGCAGTCTCAAATTACTATTTTTAAAAAATTTTTATTTTATGTATATGAGTGTTTTGCCTGAATGTATGAAAGTGCAACAGTGTCATGTAATGCCTGCTGAGGCCAGAAGAGGGTATCAGATTTCCTGGAATTGTTATACACGGTTGTTGTTAGCTACCATGTGGGTGTTGGGAACTGAACCTGGGTTCTCTGCAGGAACAGCCAGTGCTCTGAGCTACTGAGCCATCTCTCCAGGCCCTAGTCTCAAATTCTTGGTGATCCTCTTGCCTCAGCCTCTCAAGTGCTGAGATTACAGGTATGAGGCACCATGACCCAACTGTAAGTTGCTAACGTCTTGGTAATATTGTTACATAGCAACAAACGGAAAGCTAATATATCATGTCAGTCAAGTTGCCCTACATCCTCCAGTAGTTTCTCACCCACGGCCTACAGAACCCTCAGGACCTGGCCTTTGGCCACCCTCGTCCCTAGTCTCCTCCCTACCACTTGAGTTCCTCGCCACTCCTGTCCAGGCTCACTAGTTTGCTTCTGTTCCTGGAATGTGCTAAGGCCTTTGGACTTTTGTTTGGACTGTAATATTCTTCTTTATAATGCTGCATGGCTTTTTATATAATACACTCAGGTCAGATATCACCTTCTCGGGCTGCTCTTAGCCAATTAATCTACATAGCAGTCCCTGTCACTGCTGTCCACTATTACAGCTTTACTTCACAGCATTTAGTAGTACTCAACAATATACCGCTGGTTAATCTCTTTAACCTCTAGCAGGTGCACAAGAGTAAGGGCTTTGTGCCTCTTCTCTATTGCTTTTCAAGTACTTAGAATAGTACCTGACACATAGAAGAAGCTTAGTAAATATGTCCTGAATGAATGAATTTTATTTCAAGCATCTAACCTACAGAAATAGGTAGACACAGACACACAATGATGGCCTGAGAAAACAGTTCAGTCAGTAAAGTGTATGCTATGCAAGAATGAGAATCTGAGTTTGGATCCCTAGTACCTACATAAAAAGCCACATGTTGATGCTGAGTGTCTGTAACCCAGCACTGGAGAGTTCACTGGTCAGCCAGTCTACCCAATCAGCAAGTACCAGATTCAGTGACACACACTGTCACAAAAAATAAAGTGGAACGTGATCAAGGAAGATACCCGACATAAACCTCTGGTCTCCACATACATGTGTACATGTGCACCTGCACAAATATGTATACCTACACATGCATACAACACACATATATACACATACACAAAAGAAAGACAATGAAGAATGTTCATTATAGAATCTGTGTATTATATATAAATTCACTGGAGATAACCAGGCATGGTGGCACACATGTAATCTTCGCACTCAGGAGGCTGAGGAAGTAGGTTCATGGGAAACTCTGCCTCCTAAATAACTAGTTAACTAATTAACCAATTAATCAAAGTTAACTAGGCAAATTGATTAAGAATAGGCTAAGTAAATCATGGTATAGTTTATTAATTCTGTCATAGGCTATTCAAAGGAATGAGGTGAAATATTGATGTACTGCCATAGGAAAAAATAGTGTGATCATATTCATTGTTAGAAAAATCCTACAAATATAGAGTACACGAATAATATCTGTATGTGCACTCATGTTAATCACTGCATAGGAAAAGTTCTAAAAGACCTCAGAGAAGACCAAGATGAAGGAGGAGTTTCACTCTACTGTCTTTACTGTATTACATATTTTGAAATTATAACTACTGTTCTTAGTAACTATTTTTTCTTATAAATCTTCTAATTTAAAAAAATTACAAAGGGGACCCCCCCCAAGTAAAAAAAAAAAAGTCAAGAGAAAAACTCCCACTAGGTGTACTTCAATATACCTTTCAGTTCTCTACCAGCCAGTTCCAAGCAATGAAGGGTGGGGCTGAGAGATGGCTCAGTGGTATGGAAGTGCACCCATGTCTTGCAATGCCCATGAAGGTAAAAAAGGGTGTCAGATCCCCTGGAGCTGGAGTTAGGATGGTTGTTAGCCACCATATGGGTGCTGGGAAGTAAACCCAGCCAGTGCTGAGTCCTCTCTCCAGCCCCTTATTTTTAATTGTGTGTGTGTGTGTGTGTGTGTGTGTGTGTGTATCTAGGTGTGTACTTGAGTACAGGTGCTCACAAAGGTCAGAAGAGGGTGTTAGATCCCTTGCAATTGCAATTAGAGGCAGTTGGTGAGCTGTCTGATAGTTGGGAACCAAACTCAAGTCCTGTGTAAGAACAGGAAGCGCTCTTAAACCACTGAGCCATCTCTCTAGCCTCTAGTTAAGTTTTCAGTTTTGGCTTTGTTTGTTTCTTTGTTTTTTACAAGGGCCCCAGGAGATTATGAGGCATGCTAAAATTTGACTCACTATTTGAATAGTAGAATTTATTAGTGATTCTCATTTTCCTTTATGGCATCTGGATTTTAAATTATTTCTCCAATTGGCATATATTTCTTATGCTTAAAAAAAAAAAAAAAAAAAACTGGAAAAACTACCTCAAGGTATAAAAATGAAAATGATTTATGTGTCAAAGGTCTTACCTGTTTCCAGTGCTCTTGTACATATAACCTGAGACTGTGACAACCTTTAAACATGTGGAGCATGGATTATTATCATGTTTACTTCAGCAATGAGAAGTTTGGGCTTAGGGAGATTAGGTGACTTGGTTACTTTTTTCATGGCTAATCAATTATGAGGCTGGAGCAAAGTCCTGGATTTACTACTTTCTGTTCTAGTATATACTGATCTTTACTATTTTACCTTTACTGAGACGTTTATCCACCATAAAAAGAAACAACAAAAAAGATGTTTAAGTCACTTAATAAGTTAAAAAAAATATTTCAAATAGGAAAAAAAATCTCAATGCCCCTTTGTACGTGTGATCAAGACAGTCAATGGTTATGAACATTTTATTATTATTCTCTTCCCACATTATTTAACAAGTGCCATACTCTCAGTGTGAGAAGTTCCACATTTTTTACCATCAATACCTATGCATTTTATGCCTAGATTCAGGCACCCCTAGGAGGCACAGGCTCTGTCCCATCCACCCACCCCTAAAGAATCCTCCCTCCACCTCACGTTACCTTCTTAATGCTCCTTTTGGTCCTGAGACCCCAGCCTCTTCGCTCTGTTTTGATGACTTCTGCATCTGGATAGAGCCTCTTTGTGAAGCACTGGTTCTGACAGCGATCCCCGGCAGGGCACACCTGCGGGTGACACTCGTATTGCAACATTCTGTTCAGACACTCCGACTCTAAGCCACAAGGGTTTTCATCAGCAGGCTTGCAGTTACAGCGGGGAATCTCCGAAAGGTCAGCAACCTGGATCTGTACCTTTCCTATTACTTTATTAGCCTAGGAAACAAAATCACAATGAAAGGGGAACAGAAGGTGAGTGATCTATTAGCAATTTGAACCAAGACATCAAAAGCATCCATGTTGTTTATTGTAGTCCCTGCCAATGCCTTGTAACATGGCTCTGAGAAGAGCTCTTTATCTTTTCTCTCTCTTGGATAAATTCATAATACTAGCTTAAGTTTCTTTAATTAATTAATTAATTTATTTATTTATTTATTTATTTTTGTCTTTTTGAGATAGGGTCTCCCTGCAGCCCCAGCTAGCCTAGAACTCACTATGGAGACCAGGCTGGCCTCGAACTCACAGAGACCCGTCTGCTTCTGCCTCCCTAGTGCTGGGACTAAAGGCATGCGCCACCACACCTGGCCTTAGCTTAAGTTTCTTTAGTAGACAAAAATGTTGAAACTTGATGTGAATTTCCACTTATGTTGTTTGCCAGGGGTTAACAGAGATTTAACAACTGAAACTAAGAGAAATATGTGAGCTCCCTGGAGAAAGGGTGCTAAAGATCTATATTTTCATTTGTTTTCAGGATAATCTGGTAGAAAAAGAACAGAATTTCATAGACGCCATGGCACTCCCCATTGTGAATGGCTTGTCAAAGACCCACATCTCACAGCACCAGAGGTAGGGTACCCACTGATGCTCTGACAAAACCTCTTCATTTTATAGAAGAAAGGCTGATTGATAATCAGCAAATGTCTTTGCAAGTCAAAGGTCCTTTAACTACCAGGAGAGTGGGCATTTCATCTTGTCTGTCAAGTTTTCACCTTGATGTGTTTGTAAGGGGGAGGTTTCCTTGAGTTTTTTTCTATCTCCAGTGCTTCTTTACTTTCTCTTTGTGCTTTCAATTCCTGGAAACGTTTCGCTGCTTCTTCTAGTGCTGATAATGAGAACAAAGCAGACAATTATTAAGATATAAACACATACTGTCAGGAAAGCAATTTTATAGTATCTTCTAAATGTTCTGCATCCTGCCTGAAATTTGCTTTTTAAAATTATGTTCTGGAGAGCTAGGCACGGTGGTGCGCACTTTTAATCCCAGCACTTGGGAGGCAGAGGCAGGCAGATCTCTTGTAATATCAGGGCCATCCTAGTCTACAAAGTGCGTTCTAGGCCAGCTGGGGCTACAAAACCAAACTTCTCAAAAAGCTGGACGTGGTGGCGCACACCTTTAATCCCAGCATTCAGGAGGCAGAGGCAGGCGGATCTCTGTGAGTTCAAGGCCAGCCTGGTCTATATAGTGAGTTCCAGGCCAGCTGGGGCTACAGGGAGACCCTGTCTCAAAAAGACCAAAAAAAAACCAAAAACAAAACAAAAAAACCCACAACAAAAATATGCTCTGGAAATTACCATTTACCACCATTATAGAGTTAATAATAAATGTTCTGTGCATGTTGCTACCTCAGAGAAGAGGCCCTACATCAATGACTGAGACTTCCAAGTGGCACTAATAAGAGCACTCATTCACCTTGTCTTAGATTTAAATTAATTTGAAATTTGAGTCTTACCCAGAAAGCCAACTTGTTGCAAAGGTGGTAAGGCTCTTCCTGAGAAATCTTTTCTACTCTTCTGTGGCAAAGGAGCTTCACCTGATTAAAAGGACCACTCCCAGCAGAAACTTCATTTACAGAAAAGCTGATGAAGAAACTCCTCCCCGACACAGTACAGTCTACTATGCTCTCTGCATCTCAACCCCGGTCCTGATGTAACTTGGGGGTATGGATGAAGAATGCTAACAGCTGGTGCCTATTCTCTAGCAGCAGGAATGCCATGTGCAAAGCAGAGGATTCTGAGAAACCCACACTGGACTCCCAGTTCTGACTCACTGCAGGCATGGGCCAACTTACCTTTTTTGAAGGTCTTGTTAATACTAGTCTGTCCCTCAGCAAAGCTTTTGTCTCCTTCAACATAAGGGAACACTCTGCCTTGGTGAACCCAATAGTAGTCATGAGAACCAAAGAAGAACACAGGGAAGTCCCCCAAGTCATGTTTAAGGCCTTGGATGTTCAGTGGCACAGACCTGGGATTGCAGATCTCTGCTGGCCACCATCTGAAAACAAAAGCAAGTTTAGACCAAGAAAATGAGAGGGGGGGAAAAAAGACTGAACCTGCTACCCAGATCCAGTTGATTTTTTTGGTCTTTTTGAGACAGGGTCTTCTTGTAGCCTCAGTGGTCCTGGAACTCACTATGTAGACCAGGCTGGCCTTGATCTCACAGAGATCCACCTTCCTCTGCTTCCCAAGTGATGGGATTAAAGACGTGAGCCACCATGCCCAACACCAAACCCAGTTTTAATTGTAGGAAATTCATGTTTTTCCCACGGTTGACATATTTAATGTCTCTCCAGGTAGAGAAGATTATCTCTCAAGGAATGAAGGATTATTTCCATTAGTCAGGAAATTATTTGAGAATGAATCACTACCATAGTAAAGAATAAGTACCCCACGCAAATCAGCACGTTCTGAATCTAATCAACCAGAGCAAACGTCTCTTGATCAGCAGTTCCAAGTTTTATGTTAGTCAGCATTTTGTAATCATCCTAGTAAACACAGGATGAGGCAGAGTGGAAACCTGACTGTTCCCGAAGTCACCAAATGAAACCATCAGTAAGGAGTAACTGATCAGAACCTAGGCAAGAAAGGAACTGAAGTGTGACACCAAAAGTCAGAAGGAGGCTACCAAGCCTAGTGATCGTCACGTGGGCTTAGTTTATACAGCACCGATGTGAAAAGCAATATATGTATAATTTAATTTAATTTATAATATTCAGATAAAACCATTTATTTAACAAATCATTAAATTATTTAGAGAAAAAATTGACATGGTTGCATTCTCAGATTTGTGTTGTAGAACTTGAGTAATTGTCATCTGAAAGGTACTCTGCTGTCCATTTCAGAATTTAGAATGTAGGTAAGTATCCATGCTCAAATTGTGAAAACAAGCTGGGAGTGGTGGCGCACGCCTGTGGTCCCAGCACTCAGGAGGCAGAGGAAGGTGGATCTCTGTGAGTTCCAGGCTAGCCTGGTCTACACAGTGAGTTCCAGGCCAGCTATGGCTACAGGGAGACCCTGTCTCAAATTAAAAAAAAAAAAAAAGACAGAAAAACAAATTAAGACTTGCCATTTTACGTGATCAATATTTTTTTAACCACAAAACAGGCTAGTAGCAGTTACTCATTCCTACACCACTCTAAGTAGGTAAATATATGTGCATGACTGCTGTGCTCACTAAAGGCATGCTTTCTGTCAGGGGTGGCCCAAGGTCATCATATTTCCCCAGGGTAACAAAATATCAGAGCTACTAGTTATTGAAAATAAAAAGCTTCATGTGGTTCCACTGGGCCCAACTGGAAAGAAATACATTAACAATTAGTTCACAGGCTAGGAGTATTTCCAAACATAAAAGACGAATCTGGCCTAGATACAAAGTCTCACTGGGCTGTGAAATAGAGTATTGCTTTAGTTTTCTTAAAATATAGTGTGATTAAAATTTAGGTTTTGGGCTGGAGCGATAGCTCAGCAGTTAAGAACACTGGCTGCTCTCGCAGGTTCGATTCCCAGCACCCACATGGCAGCTAACAACTGTCTGCAACTCCAGTTTCGGGGAATCCAATGGCCTCTTCTGTCCTCCGTGGGTATTGCATGACATGGGTGCACTTACCTATATGCAGGCAATATATTCATACACATAAAAATAATACACCAGGCGTGGTGGCTCACACCTGTAATCCCAGCACTCGGGAGGCAGAGGCAGGCAGATCTCTGTGAGTTCAAGGCCAGCCTGGTCTACATAGTGAGTTCCAGGACAGCTGGGGCTACAGGGAGACCCTGTCTCAAAAAGACCAAATAATAATAATAATAATAATAATAATAATAATGATAATACATAATTTTTTTTTTAAATTTAGGTTTTAAAATTAAGTCAAAAGACATTTTCAAGCTGGGAATGGCACAAGGCTTATAACCCCAGTAGTCAGGAGACAAACATGTGCTTTCCAATATCATGAAGTTTTAAAAGGCAAAAGTCAAGCCAGGGGTAAGTTTGCTTTAAAAGTTAGTCTTATGGGGCTGGGAGATGGCAGCTCTTCCAGAGGACCCGAGTTTGGTTCCCAGCACCCACATGGTAACTAACAACTGTCTGAAATTCTAGTTCCAAAGGATCTGACACCCTCTTCTGGACTCCTAGGGCACTGATACACATGGTACACGTACATACACACAGGCAAAACAGTCATACACATGAAATAAAAATAAATAAAAACATTTTTTAAAAAGATTTATTTAGTTTATGTGTATGTTCTGGCTCAGCTGCTGAGCCATTACTCCAGCCCCTAGACCTATACTTTTAAAAACTTTCATAAGCAGATGGTTCAATGGGTAAAGGCACTTGGCACCAAGTCTGATAACCTAGGTTCAATCTAAGGTACCCACATGGTAGGAGATAACTGACTCCCAAAAGTTGCTTTCTCTCTCTCTCTCTCTCTCTCTCTCTCTCTCTCTCTCTCTCTCTCTCTCTCTGTTGTATATGAGGTGGGAACACAAAATAAATGTAATAAAAATTTTAAGTTGTACAAAACCAGGTACAGTGGCTCTTACTGTAAGTCCTAGCTACATGAGAGACTAAAGCAGGAGGGTCACTTAAGCCAGGTGCTCAGGATTAGCCCAGGCAACACAGGAAGACTGTATCCTATGCTCCGTTAGAAAAAGAAATGGTATAAATGTAGAAGCACAATGCTTATATTTAGCATGTCTTTAAACTCAACTGTACATTACACATACATTCCCAGGTTATTGTATAGATCTTTGTCTTCTTACAGGCCTCCTGTTAGTTCTTAATATGGTCACACTATAATTCACTTGACAAATACCCTACTAACTTAACATTTAGGTTATTTCAACTCTTTCAACTAGAAATAACATTGTAACAAGCGTGCCAATAAATATATTTTTTCCTGACTATTCTTTTTCTTGTTTTTTAAAGACAGGGTCTCACTACAAAGCCTGGGCCAACCACTAACTCAAGATACTCCTGCCTCCAATCATAGGCACAAACCTCTATGCCTAGCTTATGCAGTATTTTTAAAATGAATTTCTTGAAGTGTAAGTGTTGTTGTCACAATTTTTACCTTATTTATTGATTGATTGATTGATCTGTGTGTGTGTGTGTGTGTGCATGCACGTGTGCACATATGTGGGAGGTTGTTACACCTTATGGGACTCAAGTCTCTCGTAACACAAGTGGATCGTGAGGACTGAATTGAAGTCATCAAGTTTGGCCTTTAGCCACACAGAACTGTCTCACTGAGCCTGTAACTTCTGATACCAAATCGCTCTCCCTAAGGCCATCCTTTGCTCGTGTTTTCACTAGCCAAAGTTATTGCTCCTTTAAATCTTGTGCATCTTTTAACTGAAACAAAAGTCTGTTTTACAGAACACTTAGTTTTAGTGAAGCTAAGAATTTTTCAGGCTGGGTATGGTGGTGCACACAGAGGCAGGCAGGTCTCTGTCACTTCAAGGCCAGCCTGGTCTACATAGTGAGTACCAGGTCAGCTGAGACTACAGAGAGACCCTGTGTCAAAACAAACAAAAACAAAAAAACAACAAAAAGAGAATTTTTCTCCAAGTATTTCCTATTTGCTATTCTTTTACAAACTGACTTTTCCACTTCTTTGGCTCTTTCTAATAAGGTATATATCTTTTGCATGTGTATAGAGGCCAGAAGAGCGTATTAAGATCCACTAGAGCTGGGATTACAAGCAGTTTTGAACCACCTGATATGGGTGCTAGGAACAGAACTCACATCCTCTCTTAAGTCATCTCTCCCAGCCATTTTTCTTATTTAAATTCCCTTAAGAACTAGCTTGGGTCAGCAGGTAAAGGTGTTTGCTGCCAAGCCTGATCACCTGAGCTTGATCTCTGGAACCCACACGATAGAGAGAACCAATTCCTGCAAGCTGTCCTCTGACCTCCACATGCACACAGCTGTGGCACATGGGTGCCACGGAGGGAGGGAGGGAGGAGAGAGGTTTAAAGAACTAAAGGCTCTTATTGGAATAATCTCTCTCTTTAAATTATGAAAAAGCACTGTCTTTTTACACATAGCTTAGGGTTACCTAGAACAAAATAAGCCTAATTTAGAGCCAAAAGGAACTATTTTACCAGGTTATAAACTTTTGATCTCATTAGAAATTAGAAATCAATATAAAACTAATTAGGACACAAAGAAAACATAATTTCCACTCTCCATGAAAGAACTTTCATCCAAAATCCAGTAGTACATAATTCATTAGTAATAAAATAATTTTCAGAGCCTAAAAACAAAAATTAAAAAGTCACTTCCGGCTAGGTGTGGTGGTGCAAGCTTTTAATTCCAGCACTTGGGAGGTAGAACCAGGCGGAGCTCTGAGATAGAGGCCAGCCTTGTCTACATAGCTAGTTCCAAGCCAGCTGGGGCTATAGGGAGACCCTGTCTCAAAAGACCAAACCAAACCAAACACCACTCCCAAAGAAAAACAAAACAAAACCCAAATAACAATAACCTTTCTAATCCCCTAAAACCACAGACGGAAAGCCTGTCCTTTACCCCAACTCTGTGCTGCTCTGCCGCTCCTAATGTCTCTGAATCAGATTACGCACCCACTCTGAACAGTACCACTTCCTCTTTGTCCTTGGAAAACTTGCCTGTAATTTCCTAATTTGACCCAAACAATCTGCTTGTAATGCAGTTTCTTGCCAGCTTTACAGTCATTGCAATTCCAGCAGCCTTCTGGCATGTCTATACTCAGGCATTCTGGGTGGAAGGAAGCAGGGCAGGATTCACAGCAGAGCAATCTTCCACCTTGGAACAAACAAACAGTCTTAATAACTGAGAAAAGTAGAAAGAGAAAAAAAAAAAAGGAGAAAGTTATCTTGTATGTACATTAGATTTGATTCAAATGGGGAGAATAAAGGGATTGAGTTCTGTCCAAGAGATGGATTAAAACAGGAAACAAACGAAAATAGCTAGTTTTTAAGACTTCAGTGGCTAGAAACTTAGAGCTTTTGAGTAGCACCAAACCCATTACTGTACCCCTTTAAAATCTGAGCCACTGAGGAGCCAGTTGCATAGGTAGCTAAAGCTGGTAGCTTAAAAAACATTAAGATAGACATAAAATCTTTAGCCCAAGTAGATTTGAAAGCAAGTTTTTCAAACAAATAGCTTTTGTTTATTCTCCAGAGATAAGAAAGCAATAGTCATGCTTGTATTTTAATCCATTCCCACAATTAACTAAATCCCTTTACAATAATTAGCAAGCGTGAAACCAATACATGAATCAGCACATTTTTCTTCAGATAACACAATCCTGGTGCGCAGATTCGCACACAGGTGATTACAGTATCATCACCTTTCAGTGAAGACAGTCAAGCAGGCTATACAGCAGTGGTTTCTAACTGTTTCATCACCAAGGATCCCCTTTCTCCTCATGACCCACATTTTCAAATATTTTATCAACCAAAAATAAATCTACATTTTAATACTAGCAATTCCCCTCCACCTTTTTGTAGAAACAGAGTCTCACTATGTAGCTTAGGCTGGCCATTGGTGATCCTCCTGCCTCAGTCTCCCAAGTGCTGGGATTACAGGCATGCACCACCATGCCCTGCTCTCCTATTTTTATTAACCAAAGAAATATATAACTGTCAAAGATTATGATGCAAAAACAAAGCAAGAATCATCACATTGAACTGTAAAGTCATGTAACCCTACGTTATTAAATGTATTATTCTGTTAATTTTCCAAAAATACTTCAAAAATTTTCTTTAAGTCTTTCCTGACTTAATTTTGAGAACCACTGCTTTATAGCACAAAACTAAGTAATTATCGGTGTAGAATGAAATATTATATGAAAAAAACATCCTTTTAAGTTCCCTATCAAGCCCTCTCCTTTTACACACATAAAATAATTTCTGGATTGATACCAAAAGCAGGTTTGACAATCACTAATATTTTTTTAGTCTAAAGAAGTGAGATTTGGGGGTTGATAATTAAGTATTTCTGATATGTACATCAACAATTAACAGAAAAGGTTGCTAACCACTAAAAATTAATTTTTAGAAAGTGCAAAAACCCTTTACATTTCTCCACTGGCAAGTTCTGTAACTCTTGAGTAAACAGGATTTAAAGTCTCATAAGTAAAAGGTTCAGAGCCCTCTATATAACTTCATCACATTACATGCTCCAACCTTTTAAGGATTCACTGTCAATTTTCCAGAAATCTTGTCTTCTTGCAGACTTCAAACCTCCAACTGATTAACATGAAAACAAAAGGACAATCTGTATAGAACATTTACGGATTAAGTAACTATATTTCCTCTGCTTAAAGCTTTTACTTTAACCATGGGGATTTCTTCCTCTACTACAGATCTCAATGTGAGTTAACTGGTCCAATCCTCCAGCCTAGAAATTAGCTGCCTGAATGCTCTAAGTTTAGGTAGGAAAGTCTTCTGTATATTTTAAGTAAAATGAGATTATTCACTTTTCCACTGAAAAGGAATGATCAAGAGGGAGACCTGTCTTCACGAACAGCCTTAGAGGATATGTGATTATTACCATTGTTGTGCCAAAAGTCAGGACAGTCATTTTTAATGTTAATGTAAATAATGCTAAATTTTCAAAGTCTTATTTCAGAGGAAATACAGAGCCAGAATTATTAGTGAAAAACATCATGATAAAGATGTTTCAAATACACAGGGATATAGAAAGAATAAAAATATGACTGGTCTACCTTGGTGCTATGCAAGAAAACTGCTTTCAGATATAAGGAGTAATATATGATTCAAGATAAGCAGAGGGCTCAAAATAATTTCAATTTAAGTCAAGATTAATACTGAATGCTGAAAACAAAGCTACAACTGACTTAATCTAATTTTATAAAGGTGCTAAACTACCTTAGACTAATTTTATCGCAGGAAGGACTAAGGTATGCCTATGTCCAGTTTTTTGGAGGCATATAGTACCACCAACAAGGTAATAGACTGACTTCAATGGAAAACAAACAAACAAATCAATTCTCCTTCCAATACTTCTAAATAGGTTCTAATCAACTTGTTTAGTTATAATTTCTTTCAGTTTCCAGTTGCCACTTTTGATATCTGATGAAGGATATATCAATCAGGCAACACAAATAATAACCCATTTTTAATATACCTACTATAATACAAGGTATATTAAGTATGAATGACAAGTTTTTCTTTATAGATTCTGAAGTTGGTCCGAGATCATAATAGGAATATATTAAGGAAAGGCCTATCCCTTCCAAACTCACTAATTAATCCTCTGGCTCTGGGATAATAACACCTAAATAAAACATTATTATTGTTTTCTTTATCACAAGCAGGCAGTGGAAAGTTAAACACAGATAAAGTTTTCTTCTTCTTTTTTTTTTTTTTTTTTTAATTTTTTTTTAGACAGGGTCTCCCTGTAGCCCCAGCTGACCTGAAACTCACTATGTAGACCAGACTGGCCTTGAACTCACAGAGATTCACCTGCCTCTGCCTCCTGAGTGCTGGGATTAAAGGCATGTGCCATCACATCCGGCATCAGATAAAGTTTTCTTACATGTATGAAATTGACTGGGAGAATGTGAATATACATTTAGCTCATGGTTCTCTATGTATAATATATCTGTTAGTAATTTGACTGGGCTGCATTCCAACAATATTTGGTGTACCCCTCAGCCTCAGCTTCCCACCAGTGTCTCCAAAGGGAAGTCACTAGTTTTCAGATCATTGTAACAAAATATTTAGTAAATAAAATGATAGAATGTGTTCTAAAATCAATCTTTTTCAGTATGTTAACTAGTTTCCTTCTTTTAATAGTCTATCTTATTATTTAGTTGACACCTAAAAACAAATGACTAGTCTAGTCTGGTCTAACATGAATGATAATTGTACATCAGGCAAATGAGAAAGCGCCTTTTAAATAGTTTTTCATATTAAACAAAAGCCTAGTCTTTGCATTTTAATAAGCTGTGTCTTTAGAATGTGTGGAAATTAACTCAGGGAGAAAAGTAAAAATTTGTAATAATGGAATTATTTTAAGCCCTTTTGATAATTTTGCAGTTATATGAAGACACAGTCACAACCACCAAGGCAGAATTTACCAAAAGCAACAGACAGTGCTTGACAGGCATATATAGCCCCCCCACCCCCTCATGTAAAGAAGAAAAAAAAAAAAGGAAATGCAAAAATAAAGAGATAAACTATTTTAATTGTTACCTTTCTCATATTTCTTTTTGGAAGCTGACGAAGAAGGAATCATAGGTAATTTCATCAACTCTGCACGGTTTGATTCATTCAGTAGGTAGTGGGATTTATAGGCATATGAACTGAACATGGGGTCTGAATTGTCCTGAACTATCAGCCCTATATGAAACAAACAGAAAGAGATGAGCTGCAATGAAACTACCCATGATTCCATGAGGGAAAAAAAAAAAAAAAAAACACCTACTATGCTCCTGGGCCTTACAATTAGGGATGGGATGTGAATATGAAGAAAAACAATCTTACAGAAAGGCTTTCTACAGTTATTAAAGAAGAGGTAAGCTATTGGGTAACTTATCTTTATATAAAAAAGCTCCCTGCTGCAGAAGAAAACTCTGAATACTTTAATATGTACACAGTATTTGACAATGTACTAAAAATTCCCTAAGGGGGGAAAGCTACATTCCTTCATGTTTAGCAGTACTATGTTGATAATCCAAAGAACAAAATGAAGTATGAGTTACCTAGAAATAAAAATAATTTACATAGCATAGGCTTTGATCTACTTTCAGTACATCAAACAGCACTTAAAGCAGAGCTAAGTCTTTCCTTTTCTCCATAGCATCTTGAGATATACTCAAATTCTGTCATTTTCTGCTAGATAATGAAACTGTTCTCTATCAATAAGATATATGATTTTAAGAGTCCTAATTTCCTGAACTTCACTGAAGTTGTGCAAACCGTTTTAATTTTTTGTTGCCATGATAGAAAGTGACTGCCAACTTAAGGGGTTCTAGAAGCAATTCTTTTGATATAACTACCATGTAGCTATCTCCTATTTGGAAGAAAACATAAAATCTGCTGCAACATACTTGCTCCCAACATCCCCAGTTAAGTCTATAACGCAGCCATATGGTACTCTCTATCCATTTTGAACTTAGGTGGGAAGAGTCTTGTTTTGAAAAGGGTGACCATTGACTTTTTTGTGGGTATAAACTTTATTTAATGCTGCCCCCCACTGAGATGGCATCTAGAAATGTCTCTGAACAGGTGACAGAATGGAACTTAATATGTTAATAAATAGGAATCTTCTAAGAAAACTTACATAATGTCAAATAAATTCCATCCATTTAATACAAAGAGGTGGTGTATTAAAACAAAGAAAAATTCTTAATGAGTTAAGAAATATAGAAAAATAAGCTATGTTTTTTAGAGCTAGAAGAAATTATTAAAGTGCTTTCTTCGTGTATAGATTATAGTTAAGGTCTCTTTATTAAAAAATGATTTTAATAAATGCTCATAAAAGATCACAATTTCTGTATGAAAATCACTTTATTGTAATGAACTCATAAACAAAAACATCATGAATCTTAAACAAACACTTGCCCAGTTCCAAATTCTATATATTTAAATGATGGACAGAATAGCCATTCTGAAAAAGAAAAATGAAATCACAAATTCTGCAGGAAAATGGATGGACTCAGAATGCATAATATTAAGCAAGGTCACTCAATCTCAGAAAGAAAATAACTGCATATATGGAAAAAATATATTTTCAGAAAGAAAATAACTGCATTATATTCCCTCATATATGGATCCTAACCTATAATGTACACATGTATATGTAAACTAATGTATCTGTGGGTATAACATAAAAAAAAGGGAAAGGACACAAGAGTCATGAAAGAGGACAGAAAGCTAATTATTTCTCTCGTTTTAACTTTGTCATGGTGTTTTCTTTCTTGTGGTGGACAGTGTATTAAACTATAATTGATAGTGAAAGTGTGAATCCCTCAGCAAAGCTCTTCAGCTTCAGAATGGCTAGTCAAAATCACATATTTTTACTTCAGAAGACTTTTGATTTAAACTTTCTCAAATCTCATCATCTGATATATTTAAAATAAATTTCCACAAACTTCTGGAAAAGAAAATGAAGTTTTCTATTTATTGTACAAAGTTCCACAGCTAAAACCTTGGGAATTAACATTACATGGGCATTTAAATACATTTACATGTATCTTTCAGAATACTATCTAATTTATCAGATATAAACCTGCTATTAAACCATGGGGCTTTCTCTGATGCATATTATCCTCAAGCTTTTAGTCAAGGGATAGAAGTTTAATATAACAAGATGGTTAGAGTTTTCTGTAAGTGGATCATTTTCTATTTGTTCTAAACTGAAAACACAGCTTTAAAAAAGCAATTGGTTATCAAATATAGCATGCAAAAGTTGGTTAGTATGTTGATTGAACTACATTCAAAATTTATCCTAAAGAAAGCCAACATATTAATTATAAATTTGGTGTTTAAAATGTTGGATGAGTTATGACGGCTTATGCTCTATTGTCAAGTGCCCAGTGGTACAACAGTAGGGGTTTCATCCTTCCACTGTCACTCTTCTGTCTACAAGTCTCTAAGGCTGGGTATCGATTTACAGTTAAATAGGCATCCTATCACCACTCCCTTCAGCAACAGAAGACGATGGTGATAGCTCTGTATTTATCATTTGCCTATCTGAATCCTTTCTGTTGCCTTCAATGTGAAATGAAGTGTCTTGGTTCAACTCCTACAGGCTTCAAAGCAGGGTATAAATGTAACTGTGCTAGATTTAGGCTGGGGATAATGGTGGGAGAGATCCTAGGTTTGATCCCCAAACCACAAACAAACATACAAAACAAACCAAAATCAGTGCCTCCCATTCTGATGGCAAACAGCATATATATTGAGAAAACCAAGGCAGGTAGAAAGACTCAGTACAAGGAGCCCAGCTGACTAGAGAAAGGACATACAAGAGGCCAATACGCTCAGGACTATCACTGATTTAGTCCTTTACTGCCTATCTCCTCTAAAGTATTTCTTAAAAATGAGATACAAAAGCAAAACAACCCAAGACCTTTCATACTTTATAAGCTGACATAGTTAAAAGCCGATAGTCCCAGCTGCTTAGAAAGCTGAGACGGGAGGATCACTTGAGCACACAAGTTTAAGACCAGCCTAGACAATATAGCAAGACCTCATCTCAAACCAGAAAAAGAAAACCTTAACAAAAAGAATAGTACTTGCACCAAATTAACTGATTCCCAAAGCAAAACAACAACAACAACAACAACAACAACAACAACAACGTTTTGATCTTCAGTGTGGTCTAAATATAACAGGCTTGATATGCCTAGGAGTTCTTTCCAATGTCATACAAAGGGAAATGCAGAAAGTGGCATTTGTATTAAACAAAACAAAAACAGCATGTGGGCATAGTTGATTTCTATAATACTAATTACCAAAAGAAAGTTTAATTGTAATACAGTCAAGATAAAGGTGGATAGTGTATATCATAGTCACAGAAATTATATTTTCTATGTACCAGGCACTTAAGTTTGCTAGTACCACCCCCTTATGGCCCCTCAGTGGACACAATACTATTTTCAGTATTAATCTCTTGGTGTGCTTAAATACCAACAGCTGGTAAGCAGGAAACCCTACATCTGGCTCTTCACTAAACCAACATATGTTTCTTTGGCTGTATCCTATCAGGCCCTCTCAGTGCCAGATCAAAACATTATGAAACACACCATAACAAAAAGAAGTGTGCTAGCTTTACTTTCCAAGTAAAATCCCAAGCAGCTGGAAGCTCTGGCTTGAAGACGATGACATGGGAAAGGTCTACTTTAAGTAGAAAATTTTTTAAAGAAAACAATCTTTTGAGTAATGAAAGTATTAACTAGAAAAATCAAGAACTTATCTAAGTTTTTGTTTTGCGTACCACCAGGCCCAACTTTCTAAACTACTTTTTAAAAAATATTTTACTTATTTTATTTTTATTTTTTTTATGTGTAGGAACGTATTTCCTACATGTGTGTAAGTGCACCCATGTCAGGCAATGCCCGCAGAGGTCAGAAGAGAGCATCGGATCCTGTGCAACTGGAGTTACTGACAGTTGTTAGCCGCCATGTTGGTGCCTGGAATCAAACCTGGGTCTTCTGCAAGAGCAGTCAGTGCTCTTAACTGACAGTCATCTCTCCAGCCCTCTAAAAAAGTACTTTTCAAATACAGATTTTAGCTTAGCTTCTGGAAGAATTAATATTCTAACAATTTGGCTGTCTCATGTTATAAAAGGAACTGGCTCCTGGAAATGGTCTCACTCAGGAATAGAACAGAATGGAATTCAGCACTCAGTGGGACATTGTATGAGAAAGCCTGAGTTCTCTCCCAGTGAGGAAACTGATTTCAATGGAGAAATATGCCAACAAACTCAAAAAGAAGCAAGAAAATGAGCTAGTACTCACCTCTGGCACAAACGAAACAAAAGCCTACATTCACAGCAGCAGAAGAATTACTCCGTTTGGAATGGTTACTACAGATGAGAACATGGGAGGACACAGCTACGCTTCCAGCAGCGACACAAGCATCTCCAGAGTGATATGCAACTGGACATCTCAAGCACCTCATCATCCGCCCTATGTGAAGACAAGTCGAGAACCAATCTACACCATGATGGCTAGGACACTTTGGGAGTTGGGTTTCTTTTGTTTTTTCCCATATGACACTAGATAATTATAATTTTTTCCTTCACTAAGCTGACTCTGTCATTCCCAATAATCATTTCCAATAATCATTCCCAATAATCAAAAGAAACACAGTCTACACCAAATATGGTATATAAATCTAAAGGACTTTCAAGTGTGTATTTGAACATAAAGAACTTTGTTCTCCTAATTTACAACTTAATCCCTGCCTAACAAGTCATTACTGGTCAGCTTTTAAACCTAGAGACAAACACAGAGAGAATACCCAATATTCTTTAAAAAGATGTGATGAGTCTACTCTCTGCCCCTCCTTAGCTCTGCGTTACCTTTGCTGGCTTTGTGGATATCTTTCTCCATGGAGCAGGCAGAGCAGCAGTGCTGGGGACAGCGGAATCCTTTGGACTCAAAGATGGCAGTGGGGAATTTGCGGACACAGGCTTCATGATAAAATTTCCCACAAGTATTGACAGAACAACGTTTCACATCCTTGCCAGACACCTTACATGAAAAACATGGGTGCTGCCCTGCAATATTGGTGAGGAGCACAGGTGAAACACAGGTTAAATAAAATCAGATTAAAGCATATTCCTTCCATCCATCCATCCATCCATCCATCCATCCATCCTTCCATCCATCCTTCCATCCATCCATCTATCCATCCGTTCACTTGCAGTACTAGGTATTGAGCCCAGGGACTTAGGCATGCAAGGCAAGCACTCTGTCACTGAGCTACATCCCAATCCTTGGCTTTTTGAAACAAAGACTCTCTATGCACCTCAGTCTAGCCTCAAACTTGCCATCCTCCTGCTTTAACCTCCATAGTCCTGAGATTTCACGGTGCACCTCCACATTAGTGGAGCTTTTATGTAGAAGTAGCTACAAACATCAAAGAGCTACTCCTGAAACAACCTCTATTATTACATTTCAGAATTTAGCATACAAAAAGAAGCATAAAAACATCCTAAAGTAAGATTATAAAACTAGAATTCTCAGCACTTGGGAGGTAGAGGCAGGAGGTATCAGGATTTCAAGGCCAGTTCATTAAACCTGTCCTACTCAAAGTCAGACCCTGCACCCCCCCCCCGACCCCGTGTGTGTGTGTATGTGTGTATATGTTTAGGCCACAGTGAGCTGAGCAAGTCTGACATTGTCTTCCTCAATAGTTCTCCATGTTTTGTTTTGTTTTGTTTTGTTTTGAGACAGGGTCTCTCACTGAACCTGGAGCTCAATCAATAGCTAGACTGGCTGGACAGGAGCTGGAGAGATGGCTCAGTGGTTAAGAGCACTGGCTGTTCTTGCAGAAGACCTGGGTTTAAAATCCAGCACCTACATGGTGGCTAATAACTTTACTTCCAGGGGATCCATCACCCTCTTCTGTCCTCCACAGGCACTGGGCAACATATGGGTGCACTTAACGCACATGCAGGCAATATACTCATACACAGTAAATAAATTAAAAAGAAATTTAAAAAAATGATGTGAAATCAGTATTCACTTCGGAGGTTAGCCAAACCTGGTTCTTTGAAAATAATTAACAAAACTAGTATCACTGATGTGAGTAACACACACTAAACAGGATAAAGCACCAATACTAAAAATATGAGAAATGAAAAATGGGACATCACAACAAATCTACAAACATTAAAAAGATTACAAAGACATTACTACATTTTTGCTAATAGATTTAAAAGTTTGGATCAGTATGAAAATTCCTAGAAAAATAGACCTTACCCACACTAAAACAAAAGTAAATTGAAAATACAAATAGTTCTTAAAATTATTAAAGAAATTAAAGCTATAATTAAATACCTTCCAACAAAGAAAATTTCAGGCCCCAGATGGCTCCAGTAGTGAAGATGCCAAACAAAGGAAAAACGTAATGCTAATTGTAATAGACGTAGAAAAGAATAATGGAACAAGTCTAAGAAAATATGTATGGAAGAGCTGGGTGTGGTGGCACTCGCATTAATCCCAGCCCTGGGAGGCAGAGGCAGGTAGATTCAAGGCCAGCCTGGTCTACACAGCAAGTTCCAGGCCAGCTGAGATTACAGGGAGACCGTGTTTCAAAAGACCAAAAAAAAAAAAAAAAAAAAGTTAAGGATTTCTTTATTCTATAAACAACTCAAATATGGAGGAAAAAATATGCAAATAACCAGGCAAGACTTATAATCAATAAATACAGGAAAAAAAAAACCCACAGCAGCCCAAGTAAAAGAGGGTATAGGATGTGAATAGTCAATTTGTAAAGAGTCAAAAGACAAATGGCGAAAAAAGAAAATGCTCAATTCCACTAGTAACCAGATAGTATTAGCCAAAACCAGTTATGAAACAGAAATAAAACCTTAAGAGTTTGATAACACCAACTGCTGATAAGGGTGTAAGGGAAAGACAGCAGCACTGACAGAAACTGAAAGGAACTACCAGAGGAGGCCCCTGGCAGTACGTACCATGATGAAAGTATAGTCACTTCTTGTGGCCTAGAAAGTCCCCAAACTAGAATCTAGAAATGTTCCCAGAACTTCCTTCTAGAAGTGGAAATAATCATAGTACCTATCTCATAATGCTAGAAGATCAAATGCTTATTAGCACTAATAGCACCTGGCATTTAGTGTTTAATAAACACAAAATAGAACTACCAATTAAAAATTTTTTTTAATATTTTATTTACTTTTATTTTATGTGTATGAGTGTATTGCCTGCATGTATGTGAGTGCACCTGTGTCATGCAATGCCTTGGAGGTCAGAAGAGGGCTTCGGATTCCCCTGGAGCTGGAGTTAAGGACGGTTTGTAGCTACCATGTGGGTGCTAGGAATTGAACCCAGGTCCTCTGCAAGAGCAGTCAGTGCTCTCAACCACTGAGCCATCTCTCCAGCCCCAAAACTACCAGTTTTTTATCTAAAGGACCTTAGAGCTAGATGAGGTGGCACAGGCCTTCAATCCCAGCACTCAGGAGGCAGAGGCAGGCAGAGCTCTGTAAGTTCAAGGCCAGCCAGGTCTACATAGTGAATTCCAGGCCACCTGGGGCTACGGGGAGACTCTGTCTCCCCTCCCAAAAAAAACCAAAAAAAACAAGGACTTTAGGAGGTGTTAATTTGGCAACTTGAGTTTCTAGATTGTGTTAACTGAAGTGGGATGGCCTATCTCAAATGTATCTCAAATTATTCCATGGGCTGGGGTCCCAGACTGAATAAAAAGGGGAAAGAGCCGAAGAGAACAGCAGCATTTATCTGCTTCCTGATTCTAAGTGTAATGTAACCAGTAGCCTCCAGCTCCTGCCACCATCCCTTCATCATGATGGATATTGTCCCTTGAAATGTAAGCCAGAACGAACCCTTCCTAAGTAGCTTTTGGCAGGATATTTCGTCACAGCGATGAGAAAAGAAGCTGATACAGGAGGCAAATGTTCAAATGAAAACATAAAGTAACTGTTAAGAGAATTCACACAAAAGGGAAAAAAGGAGGAAGAAAATCAAAAAGTCAAAGGAAAAATCGGCATATCATATATACTTGATGTCGAGCTGTCTCTTAGATGATCACAGCTTAAAACAAAGTGCCACATATAGAGACATACAGAGAGTTCCTAGAATCAATGCCACGCCAGCACTAATCAGCTCTTCACTTGCTGCTGTTTCAGACGGAATAACTTACTGCTTCCCATGAGTTTGATAGGCTCATGGCTACATAGAGAAGAAAAACACCTAGTACATTTGTGTTCTAACAGCATAGTAGCATACGTAGTGGAATAAGAATAAATGGCAAAATCTAAGTTAAAAAGAACTTTAAAAGCACTATTTTTCCACTAAATATATAACCACAGTTATACTTCTGATTGATACTTCCTGAAGTCTAAAGGACTTTAAACCAATTTAAGTTCACACACATAAAAATCTTAAAGTCATCTGAAAAGCAACTCAATTCACATATGTCCTAAATAATAAATGATATTTCGCTAGATTTTATGGCACAGGCACAGTGTGAGAGGAAGCTTGGATTTTTCCTTGACCCTGGGAAGGTTAACACTAGATGTCCTCTGTCCTCACCTGCTGAAGTACTCATGAGAGGGAAGGAGAGCCAGTCTAACGGTGGAAAGAGTCATAGGGGTGGTGCCACAGCACATCTTCCCTGCCCAGCTTCCCAAGCAGCTTACCGGTTTTACACTCGGTGCAGACGAACCTTCCCTCAGGGACTACAGTCAGCCCCAGGCACTCCAGGTGAAACTGTCTACAGCATTCCCCGTCACAAGGAACCAGAGAATCACCCGGGTTTTCACAGATCTGAAATAGGGAAGTAGTTGTGCTTAAACTTCAGCATGGAACTGACATGCTGAAGTACAGGCCATGGGGTTTAGCAGGTCTAGAAAAGGGACCCAAGAATTTGCATTTCTAACATCCTGAAGAGGCTAACACTGGTAGACCTTTGCCCCGCAGCTTAAACCATCATTTCCAGACTCAGTATGGTATAAAGTTTAAAAGTCATACTTTTGGGGGGGATCTTTTTGAGACAAGGTCTCCCTGTAGCCCCAGCTGGCCTGGAACTCACTATGTAGAGTAGGCCGGCCTCAATCTCATAGAGATCCACCTGCCTCTGCCTTCCAAGTGCTGGGTTTAAAGGTGTGCGCCATCACACCTGGCTCACATACTTCATTTTTTATGATCCTTTCTTTAGGATCTGCACAGTTTAACCTTTCTTCATAAGACATAGTTTTCCAAAAGGGTAAAAATACATTTAAAACGTTAGTATGAATGCAAATTTAAGAAAATATCCAGAACTTTTCACCTGACATTTACTTCTAATTAATATTGCAATGAAGACTGCACTTCCATTTGAATGACAAGTATTACAATTCAACAAAGAACCTTATAAAGAGCCTTCAGACCTATAGCTTTAGAAAGCAATGTAGTAAAAACACCACCCTCTTTACAAGAGATGAGGTTACAGTTGGCAGATCTGGTCACACTTACACGTAGTCACCTGCCTACCTGACACACAGTGTCCTTCCTACTTATTCCAGTGCCTCTTCGAGACAAACTTGAATCCACGGACTGCACATCAGAAACATCTGCATCTGCAGCGGCTGAAGGGCTATCTACTTGTTTTCCAAAGCCTACCTATATAAAAAACAGCACATTTTTAAAGAAAAACAAAACAAAATCTCTTGCAAATTTAGACACTATAAGATTCCTAGTAAAACTCAAATGATCCCAACAAAAATCTCATTTTCTAGGCTGGGCATGGTGGTGTACATCTTTAATCCCAGCACTCAGGAGACAGAGACAGAAGCAGAGGCATATCTCTGTGAGATCAAGACCAGCCTGATCTACAATGGGAGTTCCAGGCATGCTGGGGCTACAGGGAGACCCTATGATCCTGTTATATAACAAATGTACAAAATAAGTTATAAAATAACCAAAATGATTTTCTCTCCTAGGGGTTTGTGGATTTTTTTTTTTCCCTAAAGGCAGACTACGACATGTACCACATTTGGATGTGTCTAAGTCTTAGAAGCTTGATTACTTCACATCTCCTACAAAAGGACCCTGGCAGCTTGTTTGCAGGTGTAGCAGGAGAGTGTATCTATTCACAATACCCTTTGGTAATGATCTTCCTTTCCTGGGAAAGCTGTCCTCTTCGGCTGTGAGGTTTCACTCTGGGAGTGAAGGAATGAGGGAGGAAGGGGGCACCTATCTAGTCAGCCAGATAAGCTGAATCAACTGTGCTGATCAATAGTAGAGCCAGTTCACCCTTACATCCTCCTCTGAGTATTTTTTAAATTTCCCTGATTTCTCTCAAGGAAATCAGGCAAAAACATGCTAGTTTGGTTTGCAGAGCAAGAAAGAGCATTTTGCCTGGACCCTGAATGTATTTACCTGTAGGTCACTCAGTCCTCTAGACTCGGAGTCAGATGTATCTCTGTATGCAGAACTAGTCATTTCTACATCAGTTGAGGCACGACTCCTTTTCTTTAGAGGCTTACAGGAATCTGAAATCTCGCTGGCACCTTAACACAACACACTGAAATTAATCCTAAAATAGTACTTAGGGTTGTTGATTTTTTTTTGTAGAATATTTTCTTTCCCCAAACTCATCTTAGGTGTGGGAGAAAAACCACAGCTCTCTTTATAACACTGAAGTTGGAAGTCAAAACTTCATAAGCTTCTGACCTTCCCAGTAGTGACTCAATTTATAACTGTTCTATTAAAACATTCGGTTCAGCTCTGCTCTATCACTATTTTCACCAATAGAGCCTGAGTTCCAGCCAAAACATCCATTCTATCAAAACTGAAGGAGAGCCAATCGATTGGAGCAATCCAGAGAATCATTCAATTTGGAGGGGAAGACATAAAACCCAACACAGTGTAGTTTACAAATATGGTTGCAGAGACATCTCCACCTTGTTTTTATTAGGGATGTGACAAATCTTTGATTTGTATTCGATTAGTACACGGATAGTGCCATTTCCCCCCAAATTTTGCAATTCAGTTGATTACTGTACCCCAAATAAATTTTGGATATTCATAATTGTTCATCTGAGACTTTCTTGGCAAAGTGGCATTTATTGTGACCATTAACAAGTGCTGCAGCACATCCACACATTTCATGCCATCTAGGAGGCACATTACTGAGAGTTGCAATGGACAATCAGTGTTCAAGTGCAGCCAAATCACGAAGAACTAGATGAGAGGCCTCTGTGGACTTTGTGCGGGAAGGAATAAATATGAAAAAAAAGGCAGAGAATAGTGTGGAAATTTTTTTAAAACTGTGTGTAATACAAATCCAGCCAAAACAATAGTGCAAAAAGTTACAAAGCAACAATCTCTTGGGCTAATGCAGTATAGGCTCTACAGAAACAGCCACGATGAAATGTGCAGATCAGGCACGGTGAATACCAAGGAACCAAGGAGATGGTTAATATTTCCACCCACAGTTTGTGTTTTGGATTTTTCCCCCAAACTTTCCATACAACAGACATCTAGATCAGCCCAGCAAGCTATGGTGGAAGTGTGCAGTCCAGAAGAGACCATGGAGAAACAAGTCTCCTGAGCCCAGGAAGATCCGCAACAGGCTGAGTGAGAGCAGCACTTGGTACATAGCCATGTTCTGTGGTGGAAGATGTGGACCTCAGGAGACTGCTCAGATTACTGGAACCTTGTTATCACATCCCATCCTACAAGTTTTCACTGAACGCTTCCTGACAGCTATAAATGAGGGTGCCTGCCCATGTTAACGCTGATTAAAAACACAAGTACACAAATCTATCTCCTTCATCGCTGGTGTATGGACCCAGAACACCACCAAAGTATTTCCTCGGCCTAAAAGATCACTGGATTAACAAGGAGTTTTAACAGAGGAACAGGAGTGCTGTACTGAGAGGCTTTCGAAGGGAAACACAGGTACCGCCAATTCCAATGAGTTTCGAAAATGCTAGAAAAATGACAAGTGCTGAAGACAGCTGTCATACTGTTCTCCATGATAACGGCACTAATATTAAAAAAAATAAGAGCTTTTAATGATTGTAATGTATACAGTTTGGGTTGTTTGGCAAAACCCTGCAGATGTATATTGATGTTTTATTTAAAAACAAAAACAAAACAGTCCATGTTGGAATTCATCAGGTAAGTTAAATGGTGGTTTTTAGGCTGGACCCATGATTTTGCTGTACCCATCCAGCTCAGAAAAAAAAAAAAGAAAAATCATTTGAATGTTAAAGCAATTGTTCAGAGTCTTGAAGAAGAAACCAGGCAAGAGAATGCCAATAACGATGATTGGCAAAATCAAAATCAAAAACAAAGAGACTGTTTATCAAGCCGCCGACAAAGAAATCTTGCATGGAGACTACAAGTCTGGAGTTTCTGGGATGAAATTGTACAGGAATCTCAGTCCACAGTTTCCTCAATCGCTGCGGAGACGGAGCTGTCACTGAATCTGACAGAGCCCTGCACTCCCCGGTCCGCCGACCCTGTGGAATGGTGGAAACACAACGCAATCAGGCCTCCTAATCTCGCAGCGATCGCGATGTCTTTTCTTGGAGCTCCGCCAAGCAGTGTTCCCTCCGAGAGGCGTTCAGTTCTGCTGAGGATCTCCACGGAGACCATCGCTGCAGACTTCTCCCCGAGAATGCAGAGAGGCTGGTGTTTTATTTTATTTTTAAATAATGCGATTTGCCCAGGGTAAATTATAGGTAATAAGTACAGTTTGAGCTCACCAAAATCGCATGAGTCATGCTATGGAGTTTGTACTGTAACCAAATTGCACACAGAAAATACAGATATAAGTTTAAGGTTTCTTAAAATTTGTGCATATCTCAAATAAATTCACACATGGTCATCTAGAAGTGGCCATAGTTATGATATGGGTAATTTTAAATTACAGAAGGGTTGTACAGCACTGTAAAAGGCAACATTTTTTTTTCCAGTCAAGCTGTCCTGATTTGTCAATAGTCCATTTTTGACAAACATTAATAGCTACTATTCGGTATTCAGTCGAATACCAAAAAAGTGGATTCGTCACATCCCTAGTTTATAAACCAGTGAAATCTCAGAATCTTATGGAGGAAAGTTGGAAGCCATATCAAATCTACATGGTGTTCTCCAATTTACCAAAACAAGAAAGACTTTTCATGTGGAAGCACAGAGTAAGATCAACTCTAAAAGTATCTCTCACTCTCTAATACACATACACACACACACACACACACACACACACACACACACACACACACAAATATGAGAGGGGAGTGAAATTTTACACTGAAGAGCAACAATGATTCACAGAGACAGACAAAATACACGAAGTACAAATAAATAATTTTTGAAAATTTAGTTTAGTCAAGGAAATGCAAAGCAACATTATAATAGAACTCACCTTTCTGTAATCCGGTCTTCACTGTAGCCTGAGGAATTGTTTCAACCTGTTTGGGCAGAAAAATATAGCATTAACAGGGAGTTTTTCACTTTTAAATAACAGAGGGAAAAAAAATAGCATTTTCATCAATCTAAGTAGTGATGAGTGATCAATGTATCTGAAATCCGAACTCAATCCCATCTTCTGGGTCAAGTTCTCTGTCCTGAGTCAGGGAGGGTTTCAGTTCTAGCTGCCTGTGCTGAATACCAAGTGACAACACACAGCCACATGCTCTTTAGCAAAGACTTCCCACCATTCCCTTGGTACATGAAGAGAACAAGAAAGCTCTCCTCAGTGTCTGGGAGGCAGGAGAGGGGTTGTTTCTGCAACCAGCCCCAATGCTGCTATGAACCCCTCCCGCCCCAAAGACATTAGGATAAATTTTTACTTACTATGATACTCAGGTTAATGTAACTCACGCCACTTTAAGACCCTTCCGCGCCTGCACTCACAGCTAAGTTGCTGGGAATCGGGACCCTCTCTGTAGAGAGTGCTACAGGGCTCCATACAGCCGGAAGCTCAATACTTGTGATGCTAGAACAAACTTAAGTTTGTGGTATTGCAATAGCACTTTCTTGAGTGTCTTATGAACAGTGTCTTGATCCTACATTAGGAGAGCGAGATCAGAAGTTATTCTGCCAATGTATATGTAAAACACGTGGTACTGGAAGACTGAACCATTGGAATAGGGAGTAGATGCTGTTTGGAAAAGTTCCTGTTTGAGCTATGATTGAATTTCATGTTTAAGATGTGGTGAAATATGCATGTTGAAACACATTTTGTAAATATTTAAGGATTGTTCTAAGCTTTTTAAAAAAAATTTTTATTTTTTTACAACAGGTAAAAAAACATACAACAGGAATGCTTTTTGTAAGATACAATTAGTTGTACAAATATAAAGTCTTCTAAACAATCACTGGTATTATTCTACTACTAACTATATATAACACAGTGGCAGTAACAATTTGTCCCATTATTTTTACTCATTCTGCTTATTAATTTTAAACTGACTGATCACAGACTGAATTTGGGAACCAGGTGGCAAAGTCACAACTTCATTTTGGTAACGAATATTATAGATTTGCAAGACTTAGATTTTTCTGGAATTTCCTAGGTATGGAAGTTATATGATAAATAAATGGCAAATGAATATATTATTGAAATTTTACCTAAATATTCTCAAAATAATTGTCTTACATGCTTGTGATAACACAAAGAGCACCCATGATGTTAGTTCCTAAATTTGGAGGTTTAAAATGATGAAGGTGATATTTTAAATTTAAAAACTCCATACTCTTCCAAGGTAAATGATTTTAAAATATAAAACATATTGGAACGAATTCTATTTCGCATTTTTTTTTAAATACCACATGGCTGGGCTATAAAAATGGATGTTCTGAGGACATAGCTCAGTTGTAAAGTGCTTACTTAAAAATGGGTATTTATTCACTTAAAAAAAAAATCAAGAAAATTCCGACTGCATTTAATTTATAGAATAATTTCTAAAATTTTCTTTGAAAAGGTAATTTAACAAGTATATTACTACATTATTACACCAGTTGAACACATTCAATCAAAATGCAACCCCCACACACACTTTTTACTTAAATATTGTTCATCTGACAATCAGATTCCAAATGAGTGCCATTCCACTGAAAAATAACATTCCTAAGGATCTGTGATACCAACAGAAAAACCAGATCATCTATGATTACCTGCTTCTTAAATATAAGAATATAAATTAAATTAATTTGATTTGTTTAAAAAATAAAACAATATATACCAGCAGCTTAGACCCCAAATCAAAAATTTTAAAAAGGGAACTCAATGATGGTTCCAAATAAAAATATGAAATCATTGTGCTTATAACAGAAATTTCAAAATGAAATGTACGGGTCTCACACCACTGACTTCCCTTTTCCTGAAGCCTAACCGTTTTCTGTGAAAGTGCTTGAAGCAGAATCACAGGGAAGGCTGTTTTCAGACATGGTCACTAAACCGGGCCAGGACAGAGTGAAGGAGAGATCAGGAAGGAGACCCAGGGCAGGGAGGACTTCTCTTTCTTTTATGACACCAAGATAAGCCACCACATTTACAGATACAACTTTTTAACTCTCTACATGTAGGAAGCCAACCTGCTCCTTTTTGATCTTCTTCTTTGGCACAACCTCAGTGGATTTCTCTGATTCAGATCGAGTCCTAATTGATCTTCTCTGTTGCTTCTTTTCTACTGAGCCTAAGGGATGATTTAAACACAAAAACAAACAAAAACCTCTTTAAGGATGGCCTGACACTCATATTGTGAAGATCTGACCATATTCCTTGCTTTTTTTACCCTTTACATACAGAATTTTAATAAAAAGCATTAAAAAAAGCTTTTAAATACTTGGGAGCACAAAATTATTTAATAGTTCAAATGAGCTGAGACTGGGATCTTACAAAATATCCTAGTTAAATAAATAAATAAAGGGATATTTTATCTTATTTTATTTTACTTTTTAAGTAAGGCCAAAACAACAGAGGCATAATTTGTCCATTTGTTTTGTGAGACAGGGTTCACTATGGCTAAACTGGAACTTGCTATATAGACCAGGCTGGCCTTAAACTCACATAGCTCACCCACCTCTGCCTCCCAAGTGCCTGAGATTAAAGGTATATGTCATCATGCCCAGTCATAGTTTACTTTTGAAGGCAGGTAAACATATTTAAGTATAACTAAGGGAGTGAAAAGATTCATTTGTTTTGTGAGACAGGGTTCACTATGGCTAAACTGGAACTTGCTATATAGACCAGGCTGGCCTTAAACTCACATAGCTCACCCACCTCTGCCTCCCAAGTGCCTGAGATTAAAGGTATATGTCATCATGCCCAGTCATAGTTTACTTTTGAAGGCAGGTAAACATATTTAAGTATAACTAAGGGAGTGAAAAGATTGAAGGGATGGGTACCAAGGACCTTATTATCCTATTTACATAGAAATTACTGATACAGGGACTGCTTATTCTGCAGGACTTGAGTTCAGCTCTCTAGTACCTAGATACCTAGATAGCAGCTAGCTAGCTAGACAGATAAGTGAAAAAGGTAGCACACATCTGTAATCTCTGTACGGGGAGACCAACAGAAGGGACCCCTGGGGCTGGCTAGACAAAGACCCTGTACCAAAAATAAGATGAAGATCAATTAAGGAAGACACCGATGTTGGCCTCAAGTCTACACACACACACACACACACACACAAACAAACAAACATATACACACACACAGACACAAAAGACAACTTGCTATTTAGAGCAGGCCTCAATCTCAGAAATCTGCCTGTCCCTGCCTCCTGACTGTTGGATTAGTGAGTTTGAGGCCAGCTGGGTTATGTGAGAGCCTGAGAAAAAAAAGAAGAAAGAAGAAAGAAAGAAAGAAAGAAAGAAAGAAAGAAAGCAATGAGTGAGCGTGGCGTTGTGGTACATACCCTGCCATTCAGATGGCAGGTGACAGAGGCAGGAGGATTGCTGCCATCCGGAGCTCCAAAGTGAGTTCCAGACACAGTGAAATTCTCTAAAAAAATTTACAATAACTTGAGGTTCCACATAAATAGTAAAAAAAGAAGCTAAGATTTAAAATATTTTTAAAATTTTATTGTTTTAAAAAATATTTATTTTTATTTTATGCGTACAAGCGTATTGTCTGCATGTATGTAAGTACAATGCCCATGGAGATCAGAAGAGGGCGTTGGATCCCCTGGAACTGGAGTTAGGGATGGTTGTTGCTGCCGTGTGGGTGCTGGGAACTGAACCTGGGTCTTCTGCAAGAGCAGCCAGTGCTCTTAACTACTGAGTCATTAAAAAAAATTTTATTACATTTTAGTTACTTTGTATACCTGTCTCTGTTCCTGTATGTGCATTTGCAACCTGTGGTGGTCAGAGAACAATGTGCAGGAGTCAGTTCTCTCCTTCTGCCATGCAAGTCCCGGGGACGGAACTCAAGCTATTAAGCTGGAGGACAGGCATCTTTACCTCTGAGCTGTCCTTGTCTTTTCTTGGGCATACATGTGTGGTATGCCTACATGTATGCATGCATGTTCACATAGATGTGTATGGTATGCGTGCACATTTGTGGGGGGGGGGGAAGACCCAGTATCAGGAATCTTTCTCAATCACTCTTCCACCTTCTTTGAGGCAGAGGCTCTCAATCAAACCTAGGGCTCACTGAAAAGGCTAGTGGGCTTTGAGGTCTCTGCCTTCCCAGGCCGGAATGACTGCAGGCCACCGTGCTTATCTGGGATTTATTTGAGTTAAGGGGATGTGAACTCTGGTTCTCTTTCTGGCAAGTGCTTTAGTGGCTGAGTCATCTCCCTGGTCTGACAATACCATATTTTAGAGCTACAGTTAATATGTTTCTAGAACATAAGTCAGTCTAATCACAGAAGATAATAAAGGTTCTGGAACCTTCCTTTTCTCTCACTCTTCTTAAACTGATGAAAATGTTTACTAAGACAAGAGACAACCTATCCTCATAGATCAGCCTGAAGGTTTCAGAGATTCATACTTAGTACAATAATCAAGTCATACACTGACAAAAATGAAACAAATGGCTTGAAAGCTAAATAAATAAGTAAATAAATAAATAAATGTATGCATGTATGAATGAATGAATGAATGAATGAATGAATGAATGAATGAACGAACAAACCCCACTTGTTCTGAGGATGGCATGTGTAGGGTTTTGCCAAACAGCCAAAACTATATACACTGCAGTCACTGAAAGCTCTTATCATCGCATGAAGAGATGGAGATCTTTCTCTATTTCTGTCTCTGGGTCTCTCTCTTTCTTTCATTCTTTAGATGAGAACTCATACAGCCCAAACTCGCCTTAAACATGCCATGTAGTAAAGAATGATTTTGAACTCCTGATCTCTCTGCCTCTACCTCTCAATGGTAGGATTCTAGGCATGTATCACTGTATCTAATTTATGCAGTACTAGGAACTGAACCTAGGACTTTGTGCATGCCATGGAGGCATTCTACCAACTGAGCTACATCCTCAGCCCTGACCTTACAAAGGGTGACGCAACATAACTTCTTAAAATTATTCTGAAAGTTCCCAAAGAACAAACATTTCAAACCACTAACAATTATTATGTTCATTTTCTAAGAGAGAAGAGGTAAACATTTCTGGATCTCCTGGGCTCACACATACACAAAGAGCTCAAGAATTCTGTCATCAGTTAACACCAACTGAGATGATGCAATTGAAATAAGTCTCTTTTCTGACCTCTGAATTACCAGAAGTTATGTTTACAAAAAGGTGAAATGATCATTTAGAAAGATTAAAAACATGCTTATCAATCACAGATGTCAACTAAACTTAGTCAAAGCTGTAGCACCCATTCTTGAAGTAAGGTTCTAGTCATAAGTTATACCCTAAACTCTATGTACCTATCTAAGGAACTAGATTGCCCTTTTCCAGGTGCAAAGAATTATAACATTCCACTTAAAAAAGAAAAAAATGAAGGTTCATAGAAGAATTTAATCTTATAATGAAAAGATTACATGAAGTTTAGTAGCTAAAGGAAAGACATTACATGAAGAATTACTCTCTCTGCATAGGAGTCTCTAGATGCATAAAGAAAGATCTTCCTACTCAAGGTGCCCCACTTCAATTCATATGAATTAACAAGTTAGGAAAACTGTTATCAAAACTGATATACCTAACTGAATAGATGAGGCCAAAAGGTGCTCTTTTTTCCCTCAAGGGGTGGATGAGACAGGGTCTCCCTGTAGCCCCTGCTTCCCTGGAACTCTCTGTGTAGTGGTCAGGCTGGCTTTGACCTCACAGAGATCCACCTGCCTCTGCTTCCCTAGTGCTGGGATTAAAGGTGTGCACCATTACACCTGACCCAAAAGATGCTCTTTACAGTCAAAGAGAACAAACTTATTCAATTATGAATAATAAATGCAAATCTAAGTCCATTTACTCTTCCCTTCAACATTACTTCACTTTCTCTTTTCAAATATTTTATTATTTTTTGTGTATGTGTGTAATGCCTGCATGTATGTAAGTACACCCATGTCATGCAATGCCTCTGAAGGTCAGAAGAAAGCATCGGATCCCCTGTAACTGGAGTTACAGATGGTTGTTAGCCGCCATGTGGGTGCTGGGACTTAAACCCAAGTCTTCTGCAAGAATAGTCTTAATCACTAAGTCTCCAGCCCCTACTTCATTTTCTTTTAAATGCGGTTTTGACATAACTTACTGTGTAACCCAAATTAGCTTCTTGCTACTCCTTCCTTGTACTCTCGTTCCCAACTTGATATTTGATGAAGACATTCTGTTTATTGTACCCCAATCAACATGTGCCCAATGCCCTCTTATTATAATATGAGAAGAATTAAGGCTGGAGCACTTAAAAGCACTGGTTCCTCTTGCAGAGGACCTGGGTTCGATTCCCAGCACCCCTACATGGTGGCTAACAACTGTCCTAACTCCAGTTCCAGGGGATCTGACCCCCTCTTCTGACCTCTGCAGGCACTGCACAACACGGGTGCATTTACATACATGCAAGCAATACACTCATACACATAAAATTTAAAAAATAAATAAATAGGGGCTGGAGAGATGGCTCAGCAGTTAAGAACATTGACTGTTCTTGCAGAAGACCCAGGTTCGAATCCCAGCACCCATATGGCAGCTAACTGTCCGTAACTCCAGTTCCAGGGGATCTGACGGCCTCTTTTGTCATTCGCGGGCATTGCACAACATGGGTACACTTATGCAGGCAATACCCGCATACACATAAAATAAAAATTTAAAAAATTAAAATAAATAAATAAAAAGAATTATACTGAGTCAGTGAAATGCGTCAGTGGTGCAATACTGCCAAGACTGAGCCTCAATCCTGGGACCCACATGGTAGGAGAACCGATTCCTCCCAAGTTGTCCTCAGACCTCCATACACACACAGGTGGTGGCACAAGTACATAAATAGATAAATAGGTAAATAAATAAATAAATAAAATAATCAAACAAACAAATAAATAAGCAAACAAACCAATAAATAATAAAAAATTTTAATAGGAAGTATACATTTGATCTCTGCCCCATTCTTAAATCCTTTCTAATTCTCTAAGTAGGTGATAGCTATGTTTTCTGTTGTAGTAAGACAACTCTTGATGGACTCCTAGGTGAAGGCTAGTCACTAGAAGGATAAGGCCATAAGTTTTTCGTCCCAAGCCAGACCCCCCAACCATACCTCTCTCCATACTCCCACACAACACCCTCCTCCAAGAGAAAACAAGCTGGAGCCCGAGTTAACAATAGAACAGACCTCTGTGATGAAGCCTCCAAAACCCTCTGAACTACAGGACTGGGAGAACTACTAGGTTAGAGAGCAGAAGGGGGTGCCTGAGAGGGCAGACAGCCTTAAAGACTGTGTGGAAATTATGCTGCCCCTCCCCTCCCCGCCACCCCCGTGTTACCCTCTGAATCTCTTTATCTGGCTGCTCATCTGTTCCCTCTGTGATATCTTTAATAAAGCACTTACCCAAGTTGTCTGAGTGATTAGCAAATAACTGAACCAGAGGGAAGAGATAGTGGGAGCTCCAATGTGCAAGTTACCAAACAGAAATTCTAGACAGGTGTTAGGCATGGTGGCACATGCCTGTAATTCTACCACTCAGGAAGCTGAGGCCAGAGGATCTTGAGTCCAAGGCCAGCCTGGATAGGGAGAACACTGCCTCAAAAACAAACAACAAAAATGGGGAAAAAGTTCTGGAGGCACCTGAGATTATGAAGCAGTCTTGAATACTGAGCCCTTAAGCTGTGGGATCTGAAGCTGGGCATTATGGGTGGTACACACCCATAATCTAGCACACAGAAAGCAGAAGTAAAAAGACGGTGAATCTGAGTCTAGATTGGGCTACAGAGCAATACTCTACTTCCAAAAAAACAATAAACAAATCAACCAACAAATAAATAAAACTGTGCTATCTAATATTCTCCAGGTAGAAAGTGTGAATGGACTGCCTAGAAAGTGTCTAGTCAGTGTGGGGAAAAAATCCACTCATCTGGGTCACAGGAGTGTGCAAGGTAGCCAAAGTAAAGAAATAGCTTGTCTTTTCTTATTACACAATTACTTCTGAGTCCCCAGCCCCCCCAATTTAAAGAACAAAATGAAATAAACCAAGTTAATTTTTTCTTTTTTTTTTTGGTCTTTTTGAGACAGGTCTCCCTGTAGCCCCAGCTGTCCTGGAACTCACTATGTAGACGAAGCTGGCCTTGAACTCACCGAGATCCCCCTGCCTCTGCCTCCTGAGTGCTGGGGTTAAAGGTGTACGCCACTGTGCCCGGCAATTTTATTTATTTTTAAACTAAAGTTTGAACCTAGGCCCTTGACATGCTAGGCAAGTACTCTACCATTGAGCCTTTTTGGGGTAGGGGGTTGGAGGGAATTGTTGAGACAGTTTCTCATTCTGTAGCCCAGGCTATCTTGGATCTTACTGTATAACCCAAATTAGCTTCAAACCCTCAGTGATCCTCTTGCCTCAGACTCCTGTGTGCTAGGGCTACAGGCCTGAACCACACCTGGCTCTCAACTTGTTTTAGTGTGATTTTGGGTTTTTTTTTTTTTTTTTTTTTTTTTTTTTTTTTTTTTTTTCGTCTCCTTGTAGCCCCAGCTGTCCTGAAACTATGTAGACCAGGCTGGCCTCGAACTCACAAAGATCTGCCTACCTCTGTCTCCCAAGTGCTGGGATTAAAGGTGTGTGCCACCATACCCAGCAACTTGTTTTAGGTTTATTTTGGCACAAGGTCTCACAAATTTACCCATGCTGACCTTGAAGTTGTGATCTTCCTGACTCAAACTTCTTCAAACTGGGATCACAGGACCAACTCTTTTCTTACTAAATGAAACAGTACTATAGAAATTATATTACTCATATAATACTGTTATTATAAAGCAATTCTACCAGAAAATCAGTTAAAACTACGATACATCATAAGTTTTTTGAAAAATAGCTTTAGGTCAGTGAATGGCTCAGTAGATAAAGGTGCTTGCTACCAAGGCTGCTGACCTGATTCATTCCCCAGGACTTACATGGTAGAAGAGAACTGATTCTCTCAGGTTGTACTCTGATATCCACATGCATGCCACAGCACCCACACAAACACACATAAGCAAATAAATGTAGATTTAAAATTAAATAAATAGGGGCTGGAGAGATGGCTCAGCAGTTAAGAGGACCCAGGTTTGGTTCCCATGGCAGCTAACAACCATCTATAACTCCAGTTCCAGGGGATTGAATGTCCTCTTCTGGCCTCTGTGGACACTGCATATACATGGTGTACTCACATACATGCAGGCAAAACACTCATACACATAAAATAAAAATAAAAAATTTTAAAATTTTAAATAAATAAAAATAGCTTTAAATCTTCCAAAGGTCCTTACTAAATGCAGTTCCCTCTGTTGCCACCAGCACCTTCACTGGCATCTGCCAAATAGCTAGTCTAATAGCCTTGGCTAGTCTAAAACTCACTATGTAGAGTAGACTGTCCACCAGACTCTACCTCCTGAGCTCTGAGATTAAAGGTGTACATCTGGATTCAGGCCTTTCTCTTCTAAGAAACAATAACACTGCTTGACTTTAATTCAGTTCTTGAGGTCTGTTAATCACAAAATGGGGCTGGAGAGATGGCTCAGTGGTTAAAAGCATTGGCTGTTCTTGCAGAGGCCCCCGGATTGATTCCTAGCATCCACACAGCAACTAACAACTGTTCCTAACTCCAGTTCCAGGGGATCCAGCTCTCTCTTCTGACCTCCATGAGTTTTGCATGCCACCAGTATACCTACCTAATGCAGGCAATACACTCACACATAAAAAATAAAAATAATAGAATATTTTTTAAAAAATCAGAAAACAGGTTACAAGAGAATAGGCAGGTCTTGGGCCCAGGGCTACTAACACCTCACAAACCTGGCAGCAATTTTTCAATAGAGGGTAAAGGAGGAAAGTGTGAGAATGTACTGCTATTCTAGAAAAGGAAAGCTGGTATTCTTAGGTAAAGAGAAAGAAGCCTGACTTGTTCAAGCATGTTTAGAATTTAGTTGTACAATCCCTCTCACTACCTTTTTTTGAGCTGGGATTTTGTTTTGTTTGGGCTGGGATTACATGCACACCACCATACTCACATAGAATTTATAGCTATAGTCTTTTAATTACAAAACTATCCTATTATGTAAATAAAACTCTGGATTTGAAGCATTATTTCCTACTGAAATAATTGCTTTTTTTTTTTTTTTTTTTTTTTTTTTTTTTTTCTGATTTTATGAAGCAGGGTCTCCCTGGAGCCCCAGCTGTCCTGGAACTCACTATGTAGACCAGGCTGGCCTTGAACTCACAGAGATCCGCCTGCCTCTGCCTCCCGAGTGCTGGGACTACAGGCATGCCCTACCATGCCCAGCTAAAATAATTGCTTTTAAAATTCATTTTAGGGGCTGGAGAGATGGCTCAGTAGTTAAGAGCACCAGCTGCTCTTGCAGACGACCTGGGTTCAGTTCCCATAACCCCCATGGTGGCTAACAACCATCCAAAACTCCAGTTCCAGGGGATCTGACACCTTTTTCTGACCTCTGTGGGTAGTGCATGACATGAGTGCACTTACATGCAGGCAATACACTCATGCATAAAATTTTTTAAATTCATTTTTAAATATAATTTACTTTTGTTGTTGTTGAGGTTAGCCTTAAACTCCTGAACTCAAGCCATTTTCCACCTCAGTATCCTGAGTAGCTAGAGATTACAGGCAAGTGCCAGTGTACCTGCTCTATAATTTACTTTTTCCCTCTTAGGTTAGCATACAAAGTAAAGAGTTTTATCATGGAATCTGTATGCACACGTCATTATACTTTGCCTTCATTTATCATAATTTACTTTTGATAATGAAATGTTTCTTAAGAACACAGTTACCATGTCAAAGCTGAACACAGCAATGGCGTCTCAAACAACCCACACACTTCAGTCATACCTACCTGCAGAACCAGATGTTGCTTCAGGAGACGACATATTCTGAGTTGCCTTTTCGTTTCTCTGGTTTGGTGAAGAGATTATAAGCCTGTCTTGCCCCCTGACACTTATTTCTGTTTTGTTACCAATTCCCTTTAAAAATGAGGCAGAATAAAAAACAAGTGATTAGCAGGCAAACAGCATTGTGCGCTTATAAAGGTGGTTTAACATGATCATAATCTGCTTGAACTTGTACTGTCTTTGATTACAGTGAGCCATCATCACAATAATGTTATTCCATCATCAGATGTATTCTAAAATGTATAATAAGATCACTTGAAAGGAAAATAAAAACTATTTGCCTTAAGTTCAGGTGATATCCTTAATAAATGAACCTGCATCACCCCATTTTCTGTCAAAAACCAAAATATTTTCTAATCTGAATAGTTTCTTCCTTCACACACATAATAGTAAGAGAGCTCTAGCCATTGTCCTTTGGTGAAGTCCTCTATTACAAAGGTGAACTTGTCTTAAGTGCTAGGAATATTCAAATACAGAAACATGCCATTCATGGGTACAAAATGTGATCACATGCTAATGTGGAGCACACAGAAGTAGGTACAATTAATTTAGGTCAGGATTTAGATATTTTTAATATAATGGAATAAAAGTAAGAGTAATTTGTGTGTTAAAGTATTTTAAATTTGTTGAGTTATTTTTGTTTCATGTATGAGTGTTTTGCCTGTATGCATGTATGTACACTATATGAGTGCCAAGTGTCTGGAAAGGCCAGAAGAGGGCACTGTATCCCCTAGAACTGGAATTATAGATAGTTGTGAGTTGCCATGTGGGTGCTGGGAACTGAATCTGGGTCATCTTAACTGCTGTACCACCTCTTTAGTCCATATATATATATATAAAAAAATATATGATCAGTTCTATCCTGAATTTCCTTAAAATAATATTCTCGGGGTATGAGATAACAAGTTGATCTTTTTCATACAGAAGCAGGTAAAATCAGCTCAAAGAGTAAAGGCAATTTACATTCAAACAATGTGCAAATGTTGCTATCAAAAGAATCAAGCGGGGGCTGGAGAGATGGCTCAGCAGTTAATAGCACTTGCTGCTCCTCCAAAGGACTCCTAGCAACCCCATGAGGCAGCTCGCAATGGCTTGTAACTCTTGTTACAAGGAATTTGACACCCTCTTCTGGCCTCTGTACCTTCATACAAGTGGCATTCACTCACAAATACACATATAAACATAAATTTTTAAAACTTAAAAAAAGTGGAAACTATATTTTAACAGTGGAAACTGTAACTTTTCCAGGGAGCTTAGCCCAACTAAATGAGTTGAAACTATAGAGAGACACAGATGAATAAAGAAGCTTTAACATTTCTAAGAATGTTTATATAGATCAAGACATTTCTATATTTATCAAGTCATTTATTGTGCATGTAGGTTAAGGGGAAAAAAAACCCACAGAATTCCTTAATATACACATGCATTAAGATACTGCTAAAACAAAATCACAAACCCAAAATTGTTGAGTGGGCTGGGTCATAGAAAGGCGGCCCATACATATTCTAGTGTTACAAAAGAGTTTTGACATTTTCAATTGAAAATATAACTGCCTTCAATGTTGGTCCAGGTTAGAATGATGGAGGCATTTGGATTTAAAAGGCTGATCTGCCGGGTATGGTGGCACACACCTTTAATCCCAGCACTTGGGAGGCAGAGACAGGCAGATCTCTGTGAGTTCAAGGCCAGCCTGGTCTACATAGCGAGTTCCAGGCCAGCTAGGGCTATAGACGGACCCTGTCTTATAATGACAAAAAAGGCTGATCTACACCATTACCCTTCCTCACCACAGTTCACTGTTATGGACCACCATAGTAATGGAGTGTCTCCAAAATTCTGAGAGATCCTAAGGCAACAGGAATCTAACAAAATTAGGCACAACAAATGTCAGGCTAAATGTGGCTTTTTTTTTTGGTCTTTTTGAGACAGGGTCTCCCTGTAGCCCCGTTGTCCTGGAACTATGTAGACCAGGCTGGCCTCAAACTCACAGAGCTCTGCCTGCCTCTGCCTCCCAAGTGCTGGGACTACAGGCGTGCACCACCACGCCTGACTCTAAGTGTGGCCTTTTTAAAAACAGCTTCAAGCTGGAATAAGAGAAGGCCTGAACATGGCACAGGTAGGACTGTTAGGAGGCCCCTGCCAGGAGGCATGACTAGCCCATATTTTTCTTTCTTCTTTTTCCTTAGACAGGGTCTCATTATATAGCTGTGGCTGGCCTGGAACGCATTATATAGACAAGGCTGCCTTCAACTCACAATAGATCCACCCATCTCTGATTAAAGGAATATGCTCTTTTTTTTAAAAGACACTGTCTTCCTATGTTGCTCAGGCTAACCTTGAATAACTTGTGCCTCAGCCTTCTGAATGTTGGAATTATAGGTGTGTATATGCAAGAAATCTTGACTAAACCTGTATCATCCAACATACTTGTCACATGTGGCTGACTTGAAATGTGGGGATGTAGCTCAGCTGGTAGAGTGCTTTTCTAGTATGCATGAAAGGAGGGTCCCCTAGCACCAGTTCCACCTCTTAATCCCAGCACATGGAAGGTAGAGGCAAGAAGATCAGAAAAGTTCAGAGTCATCCTCAGCTACACAGTAAATTTAAGGCCAGCCTGGGCTACGTGAGACAGAGAGAGAGAGAGAGAGAGAGAGAGAGAGAGAGAGAGGAAAATACATACTGAATTCCAGACAGTATGAGAAAAAAGGAGTAAGCAGCAGCTCATCAATCATTTTAAACTGACTACATGGTAAAATAACATTCAGGGGCTGGAGAGATGGCTCAGCAGTTAGGAGCACTGGCTGCTCTTATAGAGGACCCAGGTTCAATTCCCAGCACCCACATGGTGGCCAACACCTGTAACTCCAGTTCCAGGGGATCCGACGCCCTCTTCTGACCTCCTCAGGCACTGTATGACATGGGTGCACTTACACTCATGCAGGCAATACACTCATACACATAAAAAATAAAAAATTAAATTTAAGTTAGCCAGGCGTGGTAGCGCACGCCTGTAGTCCCAGCACTTGGGAGGCAGAGGCAGGTGGATCTCTGTGAGTTCAAGGCCAGCCTGGTCTACATAGTGAGTTCCAGGACAGCTGGGGCTAGAGGGAGACCCTGCTTCAAAAAGAAAAAAAAAAAAAATTAAAGTTTAGGTGCACTGAATTAAAAAACAACAAAACACTGTTTGTACAGCCAAACAGGTCAGCAGGTACAATTATTCCAGTAATATTTTTTTTTCACAATCATGGTTAATTCAGATAACTAAAAGAATGATTTTAAATAAAAACCACACTTCATAACAAAGAAAAATTCAACAAATTAGAAACAGGCAAACTGCCCAGTTTTTTTCTATGACTTTCAGGAGCTAAGCTCAATTTTGGCTGCATAACTCAATGTTAGTCTACTACAGATGGGAATATTACAAAAGAAAGGGAAACGGGAAAAAAATAGTCTTCTCTACCTATGCTTTTTTTTTGCCCACAGAGTAAACATAACTGTCTGTTTCAAATACAGTGTATCCAAAGGGTATTTAAATATGTTCTTACACTGACGTTTTACTATGACCCCCCACAAACCTAGAAGAGCAAAAAGTACCTTTGTTGAATAAACAAATTGATCAATAAACTTCCCATCTCCCGTTGCATTCTGAAGAGCAAACACTTGTTCTATTTTCACAACTGGAGACATATTACACTTCTGCAAATCTAAGCTCCCTTTGTGCATTGTAATGGAAGCTGGTAAGGACTTTCTTGCAGCTGCTGTTTTCCAGGTTATTTTAACAGGGGGTGTTTCTTCCTCTTCCAAGCTTGTGTTCCGCCTCTGGCTCTGTCTTCGAATCTCACTGCCTGACTGTGAGGAGGCGACCTCCCCAGCACTGGTCTGCTCTGGCTGACTATTCAGCACAGATCTTGGTCTTCGGGGTTTTTTAACTTCGGTCTTGGAGGTAACATTCTTTTTTGTTTGGGGTAAAGCCTCTTCTGGCTGTTTGTCAATATAGATGAATGTATACTGTTCTATTCTTTCTTCTCGAGTCATTTTCAATGCTTTCTCTGCATGCGCAATGCCAATATCCCACTGGGCGCGTTCTCGCTGAGGCCGGGGTTTCCGAATCTTTATGAAAAAAGATACAGGCATTATGTGACATGCTTTAATCTATCAAACTATCCTTTGATGACTACTCTACTGAACGACCCAAAGAAGGGACTGTCCCTCTCACATCATATTCATTGTAGCAGTAACAAGGGAAAAGAAAGATTACAGAAATGATTATTTTCAATAAGCACTAACATTAAACATGATACTACAAAGCTCCTATTTTCTTCCAGATCTAGGGCATGCAGGCAAATAAGCCCGGGTACTATGGAAATCTAAACAAAGCATGCTGACAGCCAACATTTGGAGATATACGGCTAGATCGTGCCAGCCTGCAAACAGGAACAGAATGACGTGAAAGGAGAAGTCTAAGGAACAAATGACTGCTATTAGCAGACAAGAGAGAGAAAATAGGCCTGAGTCCGTTTCCATTAGGTGCTGTGTTGCACAGAAGAGTCTGGACTGGCAAGAGAGGTCGGAAAGTTTTTAGCAAAAGTGTGCACGATAAACAAAGTTGATTTAATGTGTAGGAGATGAGGAAAGCAATTAAGAATTCCTCAGATAGGGGTCAGTGAGATGGCTTGGCATGTAAAGGTGCTTGCCTCCAAGTCTGACTATACTGGGTTCAATCCACGGGACCCACATGACGGAAGCTGTCCCACAAGCTGTCTTCTGGTCTCTACACACATACCATGGCAAATGCACTCATACATATACACACAAACTAAATAAATAAAATGCAATAAAAAAATTTTATAAAGAATTGTTCAGATAGCTAAAGTGAAGTAGATGGTATAGTAGGTGGTACAGCATGATAAGTACTGATGAATAAATCTGTAAGTCCGATAATCAAAATCCTGTGATAAAACTGATCTTTTAAAGTATAAAAATCAGAAATTTCTAAATCATAAGACATTAATTGCAAGATAAACTTGAAATTGTCCTTATGAAACCCAGCACTGTGTACAATGCCAATAAATAAAAACTATAAGCTGGGCATGGGGATACACGCCTTTAGTCCCAGCACTGGGGAGGCAGAGGCAGGCAGATCTTTGTGAGTTCAAAACCAGCCTGGTCTACATAGCAAGTTCCAGACCAGCTGGGGCTATAGGGAGACCCTATCTTAAAAATAAAAAACAAAAAACAAACAAACAAAAAACCTATAATATAAATAAAACATAAGCAAACTAAAAAATTAAAATCTCAGACATATTATTGAGGATTCTCAAAATTCTAACATACCCATCACCATTTCAAACATATTCCCTATATTCCCTGGTGCTCTAACTGGTGTGGTTGAGATGAAGCAGTTACTTGAGATTTCTGTGCCTTAGTTTCTTAATCTGTAGAAAAATAATATATACCTTTTTTGCTGCTTTCTTTTTACTATTTTTATTTATTTTATGTATATGAGTGTTTAGCCTGCATGTAAGTACGCCTGTGCCATGCAATCCCTGCAGAGGCCAGAAGAGGGCATCAAATCCCCTGGAACTGGAGTTACAGACAGCATATCATGTAGCAGCCAATACTCTTAACTGCTAAGCTATCTCTCCAGTCCTTTATCTGGGTGTTTATGAAAATTAAGTAAGTACATCAATACTTAAAACAATGTTTACTTCACAGTTGGTACTGAATGAACTTTTCTGATTGGTTTATATTTGTTTTGAGATAAGGCTTCACTGTGTAGCCTATTCAGACTTTAAACTCTAGATCCTCTGCCTTAGTTTCCCAAATGCTGGCATTACAGATACCTAGCTCTCATCAAATATTTTTAAATTTTAAAAATTTATTATTTTAATTTTATGTGTATGAGTATACCGCCTGCACGTAAGTGCACCAAGTCATACAGTGCCCCTGGACCTGAACTTAGAAGGGTTGTTAGCCACCATATGGGTACTGGGAACCAAACCTGGGTCCTCTGGAAGAACAGCAAGTGTTCTTAACCCCTGAGCTATCTCTCCAGTCCCCTTATTTTTAAAACATTACTTTCACAAAATAACTTTCTTGGGAAAGATGCTAATATAGAGAAATTTCAAATCCCTGGCAAAATATACATTTCCCCAGTTAGTGGATTTGTGCACATTAATAATTCACAAAAGAATTATAAAGTTGGCTTTTGTTTTGTTTGTTTTTTGAGACATGATCCTGTGCATACCAGCCTGGCCTAAAGCTCTCTATATAACAATAGGAAAAACTTGAACTTCTGATCCTTCTGCCGCCACCTCCCAAGTGCTGGGTTTATAGACACACATAAATAACTATGCCCAGCTTTTGCTGGTAATCAAACCCAGGGTTTTGCGTGTGCTAGGCAAACGCTTTAATGAACTCCATGCTCAGTTCCTTAAGTTTTTTTTAACAGTACTGTAATGTTATATGATATATAAAACTCAATTTACCTATTTAAGTTTTTTGAAACAGGGCTTCACCATGTAGTCCTGTCTGGCCTAGAAGTTGCTGTGTAGATCAGATTGGCCTCAAATTTTGAAGTTATCCTCCTGCCTTGTCACTGGGAAGATGGGCATATACATTACACCCAGATATAAAATGTATTAATGGGCAATGGGGATATAGCTGAGTGGTAGACAGTCTGCCTGGCATGGGCAAGGCTCTGAGTTCCATCTCCAGCAATGCAACAAACAAAACAAATCAATAAAATACTAGAATAGTCAGTTACCTTTTGTTTTTCAGAGTGATTGCTGGCTTGTTTGGTTGCCTCAGCCAGTAATTCTTCATACTGTTTATGACCTTTATACTCCCGTACCCGCTTTTCATGAACCCATGCTCTCTCTGGCTGGTTGCTAAAAAACTGAACATGGTATTCCCTGGCACCTATAAATAAAAATTCATATTAATCATGTTAGGACATAAAAATCCATACTTTGCCAAAAGGGCCTCAACATCTTTCCCATTAAAACTTTGACATTTTAAATTTTCAAAAGATATATTACAATACCTACGAACTTCACAATTAATAGTTACTATAAAAATCATCCCAGGTGATTAAAATCAGTGAAGCAAATTTTAAGAGAACGAAATGCTGAAATTCTGCTAATTGCCAGACTTATTACTTGGATTATACAATGTATTTTTACTTGTCTCCAGTATTTTTACAAACTGGAACGTAAACATACAATGCTTCCTTCCAAATTCTAATTAAACTGCTTTTCTAGCTATAGAAATGTAAAATTGTTTCAGGGGTCCTGTGACCCTTAAAAGTTTGTCATAACAGTATCACTATGATTTTTCTTTTACACTTAATAGTACAAAAGCAACAACAGATAAAACTGCTGGCCTCCCAGCACAAGCAGAGAAATTAGGCGCACTGAACTATACCAGCTCACTATCACATACTGGGCTCTTTTCTAAAAAAGAGTAATGACTGATAAATCAGCAAAACTCATCAATTTTCCTAAATTTTCAACCTTGAATTAATGCCTTTTATGTAATCTGCTAAAACAAGAAAAATGAACAAACACTTCTGCACACTGGGTAACGAAGGGCTGCCTTAAGGAAAACCACCAGTGTGGTCATTTAAGTGACAGGGTGAACCAGCCAATTTCCCACAGAGCTCCATCATTACTAGAAAGTGTTCCTGAAAGAACGACAGTTACTCAAACTTGAGCAGCTGGCAGATATATCTCAAAAATGAGCTTCATACTTCAAGGAAAACAACACTGTTGCCAATCTTGCAAGCAAAATTGAATTCTGGAAAATCTGTCTTTGCCTCTCTGCATCTGCCAACTTCACAATAATCAAAAATATTCAAAGAATGTAAATAGTAATAATTAAAAGAATAGTTACAAAGGAATATGCCAACATTTGAAAGAGCTACATCAGTAAACCAAGAATTTTTAAATAGCCAATGCATACACACGAAGTCAGAGAAGGTAAAAGATCCATTCAAGGTATAAGATAAAATCAGTAGATTTTAATATAACAGTACAAATGTTCATTGAATGATTTCAGATTTCAAATCGCAATTCACCCTCTACCTGCTGAGTTTTGGTATATCAAAGAAAAATATCCACAATGACCTGAAAAAACTATCAAATAGTTTTCCCTTTTCCCACCACACATATATGAGTCAGTTATCTTCAAATACTGCAACCAAACAACAGATCCTAACAGACTGAACATAGAATAGATGCAAGAATACAGTGTTTCCATTCAAGCCAGACATTGAAGATTAATAAATATGGAAAACAATGTCATTTCCCCCAGAACTTAAAAAAATTTTTTTAAATTCATCTACTGTATGTGTGTAGGTTAGAGGACAGCTTTTGAGAGTCAGGTCTTTCAGGAATTGAACAAAACTTGTTAGCCTTGGCAACAAGTATCCTTACCCACTGATCCATTTCACTGACCCTTATTAATTTTTTAAAGAAAATCATTATTCTTTTTGTTTGCTTTGTTTTGTTTTTGGTCCTTTTGAGACAGGGTCTCCCTGTAGCCCCAGCTGTCCTGGAATTCACTATGTAGACCAGGCTGGCCTTGAACTCACAGAGATCCACCTGCCTCTGCCTCCTGAGTGTTGGGATTAAAGACGTGCACCACCATGCCCAGCAAAGAAAATTATTTTTCATAAAAATTTATCTTAAAATAATTTAATAAATTCTAAAGTTTCTCAGACTTAATATCTAAATTAAATTAAACAGTAGCTATCACCTGAAAAAAGCTATAAAAGCTTTTTAAATTTTTTTTGAGATGTGATCTATCTATGCAGCTAAGGCTGATCTCAAACTTGAGGTCTGCCTATGTTATCCCCAAGACCTCCCTGGAATTAAAAGCATAGTCTAGCTGGGCATGGTGGCACATGCCTTTAATCCCAGCACTCTAGAGGCAGAGGCAGGTGGATCTCTGTGAGTTCAAGGCCAGCCTGGTCTACATAGTGAGCTCCAGGCCAGCTAGGGCTACAGGGAGACCCTGACTCAAAAAGAACAAAAAATAAAAAAAAAGAAGAAAAGAAATGAATGAATGAATGAATAAATAAATAAATAAATAAATAAATAAATAAATAAATAAATAAATAAAATAAAAGCATATTCTGCTATGCCCTTCTAACAAATGTCTCTTGGACTCTCAAATACTGAAAACTGAAAGACATCCTGGGACCAAATCATCTGCTTAAGAGTAATGCACTCTGAAAATGTGGTCTGGAGAGGCTGGTGTGGTAAGGCATGCTTTTAATCACAGCACTCAGGAGGCAGAAGCAGGTGGATCTCTGTGAGTTCAAGGTCAGCCTGTTCTACATAGAGACTTTCAGGCCAGCCAGGGCTAGAGAGACCTTATCTCAAAAACAAAACAAACAGAAAACCAAAGGGGTTGGAGAGACGGCTCAGTGGTTAAGAGCACTGGCTGCTCTTCCAGAGGACCTGGGTTTGATTCTCAGCACTAACATGGTGGCTAACAACCATCTATAACTCCAGTTCCAGGGGATCTAACACCCTCTTTTGGTCTCTATGGGCACTGCCTACACATGGTACACTGACATACATGCAGGCAAAATATTCATACACATAAAAGTAAAAATTAAAAAAATTTTTTTTGGTCTTTTTGAGACAGGGTCTCCCTGTAGCCCCAGCCGGCCTGGATTCACTATGTAGACCAGGCTGGCCTGCAAGTCTTTATGTAGAACAGGCTGACCTTGAGCTCAGAGATCTGCCTGCCTCTGCCTCCCAGGTGCTGGGACTGAAGGCTTAGGCCACCACACCCAGCTATAATTTAAATTTTTTAAACCAATAAAAATAGCTTTAAATCTTCCAAAGGTTCTTACTAAATACAGTGCTCTCCCCCGGCCCTCCACCCTATCTTTCAAATAGGGTCTCACTATGTAGCCCTGGCTAGTTTACTAGCCCTAGCTAGTCTGAAACTCTATAGACTGCCCACTAGCCTCTGCCTCCTGAGCCCTGAGATTAAAGGTGTGCATCTAGATTCAGGCATTTCTCATTTAAGCAACAATAATGCCGCTTGACCTTAATTTAGTTCTTGAGGTCTGTTAATCAGAAAACAGGGGGCTAGAGAGATGGCTCAGCGCTTAAAAGCACTGGCTGCTCTTGCAGAGGAACAGGTTTGGTTCTCGGGACCTACAGGGCAGACTGTATCTCAAGTTCTAGGGAATCTGACTCCTTCTGGCCTCTGTGAGTTTCGTGTGACAAGGTTGCACTTACATGTATTCAGGCAAAACACTCATACACATAAAATGAAAATAATAAATAAAATATATTAAAAACTAAATCCAACAAGATAACAGAAAGAGAGGAAGGGAGGTTGGGAGGGAGGATGTGGTCTGTAAAACAAGCCAGACTATTAAGGTAGGCTGGAGAGGTGGTTCATCAGTTAAGAGTGCCTGTTGCTCTTCCAGAAGACCAGAGTTTGGTTCCTGGCACCCATATTGGGGGGCTCACAACAACTCCTATATCCAACTCCAGGGCATCAGACTCCCTTTTCTGGCCTCTGGAGGCACCCACATGCACACCACATACCAACAG